GAGCGCACTTACAACATTAATTAAATTATGACAGCGCACTTACAACATTAATTAAATTATGACATTAAATAAATACGAGTATAAAAATTCTTTCGTGTTGAAGTTGTCTTTAAAAAACTACTAAATGCAAAATGGGCATATAAATTTAACGATATATGCATCAAAGAAAGCCTCGTTCCAAACTATATATATATATATATATGATAGTAAATAACATAATAATAATAAAAAGTAACAACGGAAACAACAACAGGAAAAAACAACAATAACAATAGAAACCAAAAAACAGCAAAGAAAAACAAAAGAAGCAGTGACAAAATTAAAGTAGAATGACCTTACCTTATAATTAGTGGGAGTGTAGATGTTGGAGATGGATTTTGGAATAAGTGCATTGGCCAGTTGACACAGCAGGGAACCATCCCTCAGCGCCTCACCTAATTCCTTACTTTCTTCATCATCATCCTCATCTTCATCTCTCTTTAATGTTTTGCACGGTAGTTTAATTTTCAATATGGTCTCGATTATCTGTTCAAGTAAAAATTAATTACTTCACTATTCACAGAAATGCCACCATGTGCTGCACCGTGAAAACAAATAAATTTTAAAATGTATTTCAATATATTCAATCTACACTTTCATTCCTTCATTCAACCAATCATACATCTACATCTATCAATTCACCCACTTATTATTTATAACCAGCTATTCATTCATCCATCTATCCGTCCTTCCATCCATAGTCATCCATCCAAACCCAACCAGCCAGACATTCGTCTACCCATTCACTAATTCATCCACAGTATGATTTATAGATCAACCTGCTTGAGCGAGTGTACGTGTGAATGACGTTGAACAACTTGTTGTAAGTTCCTTCTGATGGTTAGCACTGGGTCCTGGTCCTTCAGCTCCTTCGACATCATGTCCAACATCATCTTTAGACGTGGAGACAACGCACTGCAGTCTGCATGCACAAGAACTATTGTCAAAATGCTTCCAACACATTCAAGTTGAAATTGCATCAAAATGATAAAAATGCTTAAAAGACATGAACAACCTGAATCGTTCGGTTCCTTCAATTCTTCAACAACTTGTCCATTCTTAAAAATTAGAATGAGAATGACAATTATTTGACAAGAACAACTTTAACCTCAACTCCAATAAATCATTCGAACTCATCAAACACAACAGTCGTAAGAAAATAGCATTACCTCCAGAGCATCTATCAATCACTCGCACGAATCAATTGAAAATATTAGGCACCACATTAACCTCCACACTCAATGTAGCCCCTAATATTAACCACATCACCACAAAAGGTTTTCAAACATTTCATGCACTCAAAACACTTCACTCACATGGTTTCAAAACCATCAAATTATTCAACATCAAAAAATCACTCATCAACTCACACATCAAATATGCAGTCCTTAAAATAAATTAATAATCAATAATCATTCGTCATTTGTTCAATTTTTTTTCTGTTAAACATATTTATTTAGTTAATTATTAATTAATTTCTTTATTTATTTGTTTCCCATCTAGTTACTTTTAAACTATATAATTCACTATTTTTTTAATATGTAATCCATTTTTTCTCTTTATTTTCTTCCTTTTATAATACTATCTTTTGGCATGTTGTAACAGATCATGATCAACTTATTCATCATCCAGTTCATTCATTCATCTATCTATCTATTGATCATTGATTCAATTCAGTGTTTGAAAAAGTAGATAGAACAAATTATGTCTTGCATACACCTTAGTCCTGGGCATGACATAAAACTGCATCCACGCTGCCTTGCGTGCTTTTGAGCAAAAGGCTAGGCCCACCGCTTATAACTGGTGGTTGTCGTCAGGATGGGTGTCCGGATGTAAAAATTTTTCCCCAAATTATTCCTATGCCATCACAAAAAAAACAACGGCTCCCAGTCCCCAGAAGGCCTTAAGTGGTCAAGTGGTGCCAAGAATTCCTGGAAAGTATGCAATAGCGGAGGGATGTTGCAGAAAAATTCAGAATGACCCCTCTATGGTACTTAGACTTGGAACTCCAAATGTTGGATCACTGACTGGCCGCAGCATGGAAATCGCAGAAATGCTCGAGCGTAGAAGGATTGACATCTGCTGCCTTCAGGAGACCCGATGGAAATCGAATAGTGTTTGTCATGTCAACTCAGACAAAGAAAAATATAAACTATTCTGGAATGGTCAAAAGACGGCCAAAAATGGTGTTGGAATTTTTGTCAGAGAACCGCTAGCCCAAGAAGTAGTGGATATTAAAAGGATTAATTCACGTCTCATGTGTTTCAAGCTTCGCCTAGAAAAGCAAACAATGATTATTTTTTCTGCATAGACACCACAGATAGGCGAATCAGAAGAGATGAAAAATGACTTTTGGGCTGCATTCTCTGACCTCATCTCAACAATACCAAAATCTGAAACAATCCTGATTGGAGGCGATCTCAATGGCCACGTTGGAGAGAAAACAGATGGTTTTGACAACGTACATGGCGGTTTTGGCTATGGAAAATGGACTGAAGATGGCAACCGCATCCTTGAGTTTGCTGAAAGTCACGGGTTTTGTTTACTGAACACATATTTTAGAAAGAGGTTGGAACATTTCATAACATACAAAAGTGGACCATCAGCCACGCAAATTGATTTCTTTGCTGTCAAGCAACCACACCGAAGGCTGTTCAAAAACGTCAAAGTTATACCTGGCGAATCATGTGTCGCCCAACATAGACTCCTTGTGGCAGACCTGTTTGTCGATCTGTCAAAACATAAGTCTAAACAAATGCCTCGGAGAATCAAAACGTGGAAGCTGAAAAGCAATATTCATCGAGAAAAATTTCAACAGATTGTCGCCACACAGTTAGATCACCAATTGCAAGCCAGTGCAGATTGGAGTACATACAAAACTGTTTTGATAAACGCTGCAACTACAGTTTGTGGAAAAACTGGTACAAAACGTCAGCATGAACGAGACACTTGGTGATGAAATGACAGTGTACAAAATGCAATAGCTGAAAAGAAAGCTGCATACAAGCAATGGCAAAAATCAAAGTCAATTGATGACCATAAAATTTTCCGTGAGAAGAACAACTATGCAAGACGTCAAGTCGCACTGGCTCGGACAGATCAGTGCAGAGAGTGGCTCACTAAAAGCAAAGGTGATCAAATGAAATCTCTGTATCGTATAGCAAAACAAGCAAAGCATACGAAAAAAGACATAGTTGGTGTCTCATGTATCAAAAGCAACAAAAATGAGATGGTTCTTGAACAGGATGAGATCAAGCTACAGTGGAGAGAATACTTCAACCGTCTGTTAAACGAAACAAATTCCATCAACGTCAACGTCAACTTTGACGCTCCACCCATCGAAGACCCGATTTCAGACGTCACTGTAGAGGAGCTGAGCATTTGATCGAGTTCCCCGTGAAGCAATCAGGTGGAGTCTACGTCGACAACTCATTCCAGAATATCTTGCTCGACTTGTGATGGAAATGTATACGAATACTAAGACTCTCGTCAGCACAAATATTGGAACACAGATACATTTGACATCGGCGTTGGAGTTCACCAAGGCTCGATTCTCAGTCCACTGTTATTTATAACTGTGATGGAAGAAATCACAAAACCGATACGCACTGGTGACATTTGGAATTTAATATATGCTGATGATATCGTTTTAACAGCCACGTCTGAGCAGAATGCAGCACAGATGTTTGAAGATTGGAACACCAGACTCGCTGATCATGGATTCAAAGTCAACATCAGCAAAACCAAAGCAATGAACACTGGTGAACCCATCCAATCCACAGCTACTGGACGAGCTGGTGTAGGTAACAATTCAATCAAGTGTCAGCAGTGTAACCAGTGGTGTCACAAACGTTGTTCAAAAATAATTGGTAATTTATCTAAAGTTTCCAATTTTGTTTGTCCTGTTTGCATTAATCCACAACAACAAATTCAAAATAGCAATGTTTTTAAGCCATTAAAATAGAGAAAGTCACATCGTTTCAATATCTAGGAAATGTTCTAGATTGTACTGGAACAGCTGAAGCTGCCGTTCGAGCACGCATACGTGCAGCCTGGAATAAATGGCATCTCCTTGCCTCTATATTTATGCGGCGCGACATCCCACTACCACTACGATCAAGACTTTATAAATCTGTGATACGTCCGGTCTTGTTATATTGTTATATGGTGCTGAAACATGGCCAGTGACAACCAAACTGGAACAACAACTTCAACGAACCGATATGAAAATGCTCCGATAGATGCAACGAATTAGTCTGAAGGACCACATCGAAATAGCAATGTTTTTGAAGCCATTAAGGTAGAGAGAGTCACATCGTTTCAATATCTAGGGAATGTTCTTGAATGTACTGTAATCAAATCTACCGAAATCCTGCGTCGTGCTGGTTTAGATGATATAAAGAACGAATGCCGGCAACACCGTCTGCAGTGGTTTGTTCATGTCAAACGAAGTGGAAACAGTGCCATAACTTCTCTTGCAGATGTTGAAGTACCTGGCACACGTCCCAAAGGCCGTCCAAAGAAGTCCTGGTCGCAAACAACCGAGCAAGACATGAGAGCTCTAAATTTAAATGAAATGGATATACTGTTCGTCTAATTTGGCGCAAAAAAATTGATGTCAAAGAAAACAACGTCCTACCTCGGGGTAGCTGGGTCTCTGGACGCTAAACAAAGATTGATTGATGATTTATAAAACAATATACAGAATGAATGTTGAAAAATGGAGCTGTACAAACTGGGCTGACGTCAAGAGTCTTCTTAATTTTCGATGCCTCTTTTAATCGCTGCTTGTGCATCTTCTCATACACGTCGAAATATTCTTCTTTCTGTTGAACAAGCATTCAGCAATTTTAAAATCTCAATAGTTATGCATTAATTTTTTAAAACATATACATCAAGCGTAATAATTTTAAATTGCAGAACAAATGACCCTTAACACGAAATGAATGAAATGACCCTTAACAAGAAGTAATTGAACTGAAACTGAACAAAAAACTGAATAAAACTGAACAAATTGTTCACCTCCTCATCAACCTTACTCGGGATCCGTCTACGATTATGATGGTCAGCAGTTGGCGTAAGATTCCTAAAAAAATAGAAACAAGTTAAAATTTATTACATTGACTTGTTGACCAGGCAGGCTACAGAATAATAAAACTATCTGGGCTAATTTTATCTATAATTTTATCACTTAAAATTAGACTGATAAATCTCCATTTCACAAATTCTCAAAATTCAAATGATTAGCATATTATGAACATTCTGTCACTGAAGATCATTCGAGTGAATCAATCAGAAAATGTTAAGCGAGCTCTGAAGAAATTGAGGTAAGACGTCTCCAATTTTCCACATGAGGTAAAAGATCTTCAATCATACACACTCCACATGAATGAATGGCCGCACATATTTTCGTTGAATCTTCCAATCAGAAATATTATAAATTGACCGTTATTTTGTCTCGTACATGTTTGTATGCTAAACACCAGCTTTAACTGAATAATGATTTCTATGTAATAGCTACTTATTCATCATTGGATTAAATCCTATTGTAAAAAAAATCCCAAGTTAAGATGTTTGCGAGTGAAATATAGAATAAAAAAAAAACAACGTTTGCAATGCTAACTCTGGAGTCTCGCCTCCATCATTGACTATGAACCCAATATCGAAAAAATGACTGCTGGACTCGATGCCCGGTGCACTCCTGCTCCCACCAACAGCCACCTCCCCGTCCGACTAGGACATTGTGAACAATCATTTTCAATCAATTGATTTATTCATAATAAATAGAAATGTTCTTCTGAATATTTAACATTTTGTTTTATAACAAAAACCTAGAGACACTAACTACTCATACGTATGCGGCGTTCAAAATATCATAGACTTTTAAATAGAGTAGGCAGAAATTTTTTGAATTCGAAGCAGGCAATAGCGGCGCAGGACGTGAGCCTGGTCTTGCATTAACATGAAAGACCTTAAAGCGTGCTTAGTTTACAGATGTACCAACACATCGTTATGAGTTGAATTAAGCCGTAGACACAAAACACTTAATAATAAGTACATGAGTGAATATTGCAAAACCATTTGAAACTGTTGAGATTATATGTTTAGCTATAGATTCATTTTTCGAATTAAAATATTTATAAACTCTGTGTAAAAAAATGAGGACTGACAAATAACTTATTACCATAACTCAAAATAATAAAAAACTAAACTAATCTTTGAAAATATTTTGAAAAAGTAAACTTTGATAAAATATGGATAAAAATTAAATAACTAGAATAAAATAGGAATGAAATGAAAAAAAGAACATGCACCAAAGAAAGTGTGGACGATGAAAGTTGTCGTATATCCGTTGCAGCCCTACCGGCACCACCATCATTATCATGGTCGGTATTGTCCTGATATTTCAACGTCTTCACAGAGGACGGAGATGCAGATGAACCACTATTTTCCTCATCAGTAGCAGCTCCATCATCATCAACAGTACCATCATCAGCAAAAACTTTCGGTTGGACGGAATGTTTCAGCATGAGCGGATGGCCAGGACTGCTAATGTTCAAGTGTGAAGAAGAGGCTGATGGGTATGGTGCAGTGCTCTTCATTCTTCCAAGAGTGGCGTTGTTCATAACCAACGATGATAGGGACAACGGTGGTGGTAGTGATGGTAATGATGATAGTGACGGTGATGATGATGACGGTTTTGTGGTAAGGTCACCAACGGACACACTGTGTTTGAAGGTCCTCTGAAGGATTTCCTCTTCAACCTCCACAGTGACGTTGTTGTTGTTCCTGTTGTCGACTTTCAGGAAATTAATTTCGTTGCGTAAAAGTCGACTGTCAGTCTTATATAGAGTCTTGTTGTAGTAGTTGTAGTGGCATCTCCCAGTTCTGCCACTACTGTCAACTCTTTCTCTAGCTCTAACGCGTGTTTCATACTGACTAATCTGATGAATTCATATTCTCCAGCAGTTCAATTACATTGTACAACTTCTAAATGAACAGCATGTTAACGACTGCATTCTCAATTCAACATTTAATTAACACATGCTTTAAATTGAATGACGAAACGAAACATAATACAACTTTTAAACAAACACAAGAAATAAAATTAAATAAGAACCAAATAAAAATAACTTAAATTAACTATCTGAAATTAAAACATTTGAATTTCGAAAAAAAAAATGACACATACAGATCTGTTGTCCACGTTGCACAACTGTGTGTCATCAATGTTATCAGATGCATTGAGAGTTGATGGTGAATCCTCATCCACTGTGCTCTTCGTCCTGCAAACGTAGGATGAAAATAAATTGATATGCCATGAGGCGAACATTATACTTATATAATGAAATAAAGAGTACACCCAAAAACTTAATGATAACCAACAGTAATGGGGCAACCAAATCATGCACTGATCGTTCAGCAGAAAGGCTATCAACCCGCCAATTGTAGGCTGCATTCGCCCAACCAACCATTTAACCAGCCAAGTAAGCAAACAACTATCCAGCTAACCAGCCAACTAACCATCCAGTTAACTATCTAGTTAACCTACCAATTATCCAGCTAACCAACCAAACATCCGACCAATCAACCAACTAACCTAACATTAGTTGTAGATATTCCCTTCTTCAATCTTCTTGAGGCATCTTCTGTATTGTTCTTTTTCTTCGTCCTCAATCTGTCCATCTTAATGTATGACATGATGTGTTGGCATCCCTTCATCACTACCTGAAAACCACGTTGAAAGATATTGAGGAAAAACGAATTTCATATTCATGAGTTACGTCGTTGCAATTCGACGAGATTGTTCAACAACACTACTTTCAGCGTTTTGTGTAACTAAAAGTCACGTTGTTATTCAGTACGAAAAATTTTTTTTTTCTCATCATACACAACAATCCTCTCATTCACCCACCTCTCAATGTTAGCATTCCATTCAATTAAATCCACATGAATTACCATTTTTTGTGTTTTTTTTCATTTATCATTTTCAGTATTCCAAAAAATGATCTTAATTTTGTCCCAATTTATTTCCAATCCAAAATGTTTAGCTTTTTTAAATAGGATCTATTCATTGATTGTGGCACAAACATTTCTTCATGCACGATGCAATCAGGATTCTACTCCATGGGGACAAAAACTCATCAAGTGGAAGAACGCAGTAACTACATCAGCTTCTGTCAATTCGTAAGCACCAAGATTGAGATGAGGATAATATCCTCCTGTCCTCGGTTGTTTTGCATTCACGGCGCGAACCTTTGCTTTATAAACGAGATGAAGATAATACCCTCCAATCCTCGGAGACCATACGAGACTGCCAATTTCTACAACGAAAGAGTGCAGCCACTTAACAAACACCTAACACCAGATTCAACACATCCAGCATCGATACATTTACACAAAGTTACATGATCAAAATCCACTTCAAAAACATAAAACGGTTTAACACTGATTTTAGGTTTTGCAGAAGCATAGTAAATCTAGTGTTCATGTGAAAGAATTGGCAACGGGCGTTTGAGCAACTGTCAGTATCATTCCAGCTATTTTAATAGTTTCCTATCCCGTCACTGATCAGCTGAACTTCACTATTGAAAATTCTACTTTAAACATCTATCAAAACTGATTTAAGTCAACAAAAATGATCAGACGCGTCACTGGCTCGTTCATCCACAGACCCGGTCCACGATCTACCGTCATTTTGCCGGCTTTTGCAGTGGTTTCTATTCTACATTGCCTACAAAGAATATGGACTGCTTCCTTCAGGCTGTGGAGTCTGGCCTGCCGTTTCTGTACAATCAGGGAGTGGGTTTCTTCTTAAACACATTCATAACGCATGGGAACTATGTGAAAAAAGTTTCATCCATTGCCTTGGTTATCAAATTGCAAAATACTTCTGATGTATTTCAGCTGCATTGTATCACATCATATCACATTGAATTGTACTAGATGGATAGACATCATAAAAACACATATATTCAAAACACTTAAATATACACTAACGTATATTAAAACATATAATAATCATATATTAAATAATAAACATCTATTAAAATAAATGTCAACATATATCAAAACATATTAAATGATAAATATATATTGTAGTTAATTCAAATATTGTTATAATTGAATAAAGCAACTATCAATATTATTCCAGCCATCTTACTAGTTTCTATTAGGCAAAAGAAAAATTCTGAAAACGATAGGGATAAAAAATTGATATAGTTGACCATGTTGATGATGAAAAACAAACAAAAAATTATAATTCATGTGGATTTAATTGAATGGAATGCTAACATTGGGAGGTGGGTGAATGAGAGGATTGTTGTGTATGATGAGAAGATCCAATGAAGTAAGTTGGTCAAAGTCGGCAGGAAGGTGTGTGATATGATTTACGGAAATGTCCAACTTCACCAACCTCATAGTACAAACACCTGCATGGAAATTTATATGGCATGTCACTTAAACGAGTGATGAAGAACACAGTCAAACCAAAAAAAATAATCTATATAAAAAGAAAGTGGAAATACATTTTTAGTTAACAAACACATTTTATCCGAAATTATACCTCTGAAATTATCAATCACTGTAGATATCAAATAAGCTTAATTTTTCAATAGCATTCTATAAAATGAAGGTGAAACTATATTGAACCATCGTAAAACTTGCATCAAACTTGAATTGAATCTGTCAAAACATGCATTGAACTTGAATTGAACCTGCCTAAAACAGACATTAAACCTGACACAAACTTGAATTGAAACTTGCATTGAACCTGTCTAAGACCTACATTGAACCTGTCTAAAACTTGCATTGAACCTGTCTAAGACCTACATTGAACCTGCCTAAAACTTGCATTGAACCTGTCTAAGACCTACATTGAACCTGTCTAAAACTTGCATTGAACCTGTCTAAGACCTACATTGACCCTGTCTAAAACTTGCATTGAACCTGTCTAAGACCTACATTGAACCTGCCTAAAACTTGCATTGAACCTGTCTAAGACCTACATTGAACCTGTCTAAAACTTGCATTGAACCTGTCTAAGACCTACATTGAACCTGTCTAAAACTTGCATTGAACCTGTCTAAGACCTACATTGAACCTGCCTAAAACTTGCATTGAACCTGTCTAAGACCTACATTGAACCTGTCTAAAACTTGCATTGAACCTGTCTAAAACTTGCATTGAACCTTCTTAAAACTTGAATTGAAGCTACCTAAAACCTGTATCAAACCTACACATTAAAACTGCTTAAAACTTGCTGTGAACCTGTCTGAAATCTGCATTGAACCTGTCTAAAATCTGTATTGAATCTGCCTAAAACATGAATCAAATATTCATTGAGCCTGTTTTAAACTTGCATTGAACCTGATCAAAACCTTCGTTGAACCTGCCTAAAACTTGCATGGAATCTCCATTAAACCAGCTTAAAACATGCATTGAATCTCTAATGAAACTGCACTACTACTGCCGTCTACCGTTACCTTTCTACTTCATTTTAGTTCAGAAACCCAATTTTGGTCAAATTATAATGCTACCTTATTATAAACGTATAATTCTTTTAGGGTTAAATGGTTCAAAGTAGAATAAAATTTCTCCTTTCTAATATTAAGATTATAGCAGTTTAGGAAAATGAACAAAATTTAATTTTAATTCATGTAAAATAATATAGAAAATACAAATTACCATAAGAAATACTAACAACTATTAAGAGAGGTTAAGTAATTTTTGTGAACATCAAGATATCTGAGCAAAGTGAGTTGTTGAATGGTGTCTGGGAGGCTTTGCAACTGATTATTGCTCACATCCTTTGTTAAAACAAATTAGTTTCATATTAAAATTAAATGCTATCTCTTAAATTCGAACAGCAAACGCAAAATTTCATTTAAAAACCAATTTTACTCCAGCGACCAAAGAATAAATATGTATAAAAAGATTTCAAAGTGAATATCAAAAAATATATATATATATAGATATATATATATATATATATATATATAGTTAGGGTTGATACTATCTTACATACAATTATTAAGAAATATCACTGCATTTTCAGCTTGACCAGTTTTTGGTTCACTTATTCAAAATTTTGTACTGTATATTTTATAATTGTTTTTTGACTTATTTATATAGAAAACAAAGTTTCTAACTACTTTTTTTATTTATTCTATCTTATATCTTATACAGAAAAAGCTTTTTTCGGTAATCCTTTACCATCTTCAATGTAGTATGTTATCCAATAATGGTTGTATCTTATATATACCTATATCAGTGCGTTCCTAATTTATTAGCTCCAAAACACAAAGTGATCTATATATATATATATATATATAGAAAATAGAAAAATATATAGAAAAACTTTTTTTCGAAACATTGGCTTTTGAATTTATAATTTTTAATAATTTTCAACCAAAAGTAATAAACTTGAACAATTAAACTGTTCAAATGATTCAAAAGTTCAATGACTTTGAAGATGAAAGTTCATTTCTATCTGTTTTCTTTTTACAAAAGAGGTGCAACTGTGCTTACAATGGATGGAAAAGATATAGGTTTTAAACGGTATGCTAAGTACGTTCTTTTTAATGTGGGCGGTGATGGTCTAATGGTTAAGGTCGCCTGGTGCTGTTTCGCAGTAACTGGGATTGAATATGACAAAAAGATCCCCGCCTATCACATGCTTGATGTGTGATGCGTCGTTTAGCATGTATTCATATACGATTTTTGAGCACTTTGTTGAATCCTCTGAACTTTGGAAGAGTGTAATTGACCTTTTTTTAATTGACCTTTAATTGACCTAATGTTAAATTATTGAAAAAAAAATCGAGAGTAGACAACTGCTGTCTGATTTGCATTCATCAAAAACTTGGTTTTCAGTAAATCTGCAGTAAATCTAGTAGCTTGTTCAATTTTTTCAATCTTTTCTTGCAAAAAATTTATGAATTGAGAAGAATATCAACAGTGCTGCAAAAGAAATTTCAGCTACTATCTTCACAAAAGATTTTGTTTATTATATTCCATAATTTTTTGGGATTGCTAGTATTATCCATAATTAATGTTTTCCAATAACAACTACATTTTTGGAAAAAAAAACCTGTCTGTATTTTACAAGGCAACAGTCCATTCCTCCTGCAACACTGATGTCTGTCCTTGGGAAACTATTTCTATAATTTTTCTCTATTCTCCAACAATTTCTTTTAGCTCTTCTGTATTCGTAGCCAAACCAAGGTACAATTAGGTCAGATCTACGTTCAATAAACTGCAGCATTGAAATTTTATAAGCTATTTTTCTAAAGTCTCCATTGAAATTTTTAAATTTGAAATCAATATCTTGACTCTGGTATGGCATAGAAAGCAGAGTATTCATGACATACAATAATATTTTCATCTATTCCCATTCATAATCTAGTCAAGTTTTTTGTGGCAGTCATGTTATTGGTATAAAGACACATATCAATCTATGATCTGAATATATACCATAGGAAAATATGTTACCATTTGAAAACTTGGAAATGATGTGATATTTTACTTTTAGTTGTTAAATAACTTTTATTGAAATGCTTTATATTACAGAGCTTTCTATACTGAACTTGTGGTGAAAAATTAAAAATATTTTGCATGGGAATGGGCAACAAACTTTTCTTCTTTTTGATACAACACATAATTGCATCAACAATAACTGGAGCAAAAGCAAAATTTTTTTATTGCCTGCTCCTACTGATTTGACCGTTGCAAAACTCTCAAATTAACTGCCAACTCTTGACATGCCCTTAAGAATTGCTCATAGACAACTGACAGTGGCCAGTCTCAAAGCAAACAACATCCAACAAATGTCTGTTCATGCTAAAAGTAAAAGTAAATAATTAGATGGATTTTTCATGAATCAACTGTGTAGATGAATAGATGGATGGCTAGATAAATACTATAAACTGTATAAAAATACATACAGCAAAACAAAAAATAACAGCTGAACAACACAAGGACATCAAAAGATAACTATGCAACGATGCAACAAATATCTAACGAACGAACCAACTCCATAAGCTGATTGAGCTGTGATATGTCGTTTGGCAAATTTTGCAGTCGGTTGTTGGATAAGTTTAGTATCTGAAGACATGCAAGCTGGCAGGCATGCTTTGGTAGACATGTTAACTGGTTGTGACTAATGGGTGATGGTGGAAATGATGATGTATGTGATGGTGGAGATGATGATGTTGATGGTGGAACTGATGACGTGAATGATCAATATTTAAAAATTATGATGAGAAGTTAGGTGTCAATAACAGGAAATAAATTTAAAATGTGTGAAGCTGTAGATGGTCATTGTATAGTTGCAACAAAAACTTTTGTTGATCATTTGGCGAGCTTGATGGAGATGATGAGGACGAGAATGCATGAAGAATATATGGCTATAAAAACTATGAAGATTGTGTGCTATTATCACATTTATGCAACTAATTTTAGTAATTACATAAAACATACAAATCATTACTCAAATAACATCTGGTAATTAGATGAATAACATTATGTGAGTAATGCTGTGTGATGTAAAGAATGATAACTGGCAGAATCGCTTCATAAGCAAACAAATATTCATGATTTAATTATTGTATGAAAATATGTATCAATTGCAGTAAAATTAACAAATTTATATAATTATAATATAAATATTGAAAAAACATAGAAACATAGAAAATTATTAATATTGAAAAATATTTTCATTTATAGTTTAGCTATAAAATGGACACATCTTTATTTTTTGTTTACATCCAGTTATATATTTTTCTGAAAATTCATCAAACAAGTAATGAAGTGGTGGGCTACCAAAAAATATTCTGCAAGATAAGCAGCACCATTAGCTCAACATGTAAATGAACCTAGCCTTCAAAAATGCATGATATCCTGTTACACCTTTTTAAATTGTTCATGCTTTAACGGTTACATAAAGGGCCAAATTTAAATAAACAATTTGACTAACCGTTGGAAAGAACAATAATTTTAAAATGTTACCTTAAATTGAGTTGTACAAGATTTTTAAGTTGTAAGATGGAGATAGGTATGGTCTTGATAGAGTTGTGGTAGCAATTAAGGTGCTCCAATGACAAGAAGTTGAAGAGGAAACGTGGAAAGTCACTCAAACAGTTCTTTGACAGATCTGAATAGAAAACATTACCAAAAGCATAACATACAACAACAACACAAGTTTAGACGACATTTTCCCCGAGATCGGGGGTTGCCGTTTGGCTACCTATGATGAAACTGAAATACCCCTCGACGCCATTCCATCATAAGTAATTTATTTGGCTAATTTTTATGCAGGACGCCCTTCCTTACGCAACCACAGTTATAAGCGGTGGGCCTAGCCTTTGATGATCCAACATCACTCACAAGGCAGTGAGGGTCAGTTTAATGTCATAACCAGGACATCAAAAGCATAACATAACAACTAAAAAATATGTATTAATTTGTAATATTTCTAGTCCATCTTAAAACGCAATCTTTGTTGTAAAATGGTGTTAATTAAACAATTATCATTTCTGTCTATACAATTCACTTTCTTGCATGATTACTACAGCATCTTGAGATTATCTAAATTGAATTATCTAAAGATAAATTATAAATACTAAAAACCTCATAATCTGGTAGTTGGTCATGCACCAAAATGAAAGAGCAAATAATATTTAGAAAACATCACTCCACTGCTGAACCCTCATGCTAAAAATAACATTAAGCTTCCCACAAAATATTCTCAAATGTGATTGAATTTTTAAAATATCAAACAATTTGTCTAATTTGGTTATTACAAAAATTTTCAGTTAAATTATGGGACAATAAAATAAGATGATACAACCACTTTCATAAACTGCCATTACAATGCATAAGCAATAAAATTTTCCTTACTGATGCACTTAAAATTTTTATGATATTAAATAGTGAAATTGCATCAGTTTTAAACACTAAAGAAGATAGAGCAGACATAGTTGAGCTTATTTATTTCATTTTCATTTTTATGCTCTTGTGTCTGTTTATTTAGTTTATTACTTAATATGCTGAGCATGTGCTGAGCCAGACCAAATTGAAAAATAAGAAGTAAATTTAATGCAACATTAGAGTACAGTGAGGGTAAAAATTTAATGAAGGAGTGAGAAGTGACCTGCGTGGTGCAAATCAGACAGATCATAGTGGGTGATGGAGTTTGGAAAATCAGACAACTTTCGACCACTCAACAGGAGTTCACCACTATGCTGAGAATCATCTATTATCTTGTCCACGCTTTTTGACGAGAACGGCAAATTGTCATGAATATGCTCGTTAGAAATCTTTGACGTATCCATTTATTTATTTATTTAAAAGTTTCACAAAAATTTGCGTGCCATCAAATGAGAAATTTGTTGCACACACGGATATTCAATTACATTACATTACGAATAATTATTTGCTTAAAAGTAAACTTACAACTAGAGTGTCAGAGTCGGTCGGTACAGGAGATTTTGTCAGAGATTTTTCTGAAAATTTTTTTCAAGATCGTATTATTTAGAAGATGAATATATTTTTTAATCTAATTATATGGCAATATGCAATCATCTTTAATACTGAAAATAGATGCTAATAATATGAATAAAACCACATAATTTTTCAGTATGTTTTAAAACATAAAACCAAAGTTGTTTTACTTTAAAAAAAAAACAATTTTTTGACTAATTTTAAGCTTTTTAAAGTACTTTTTATTTAGTAGTGAATGCAAAATTTAAAAAATTTTTCTTGGTTTCAGAACTCGGAGTCAGAGTTGGGAATCGGAGATTTATACCAGGAGTCGGAATTTTTGAGAGACGGAAGTCGGAGAGTCTAATATTTTTCATACAACTGTGAGACTGCTTACATCTTCATAAAACAATTGGCCTTTTTTATTCTTTTTTCCACACATATAGGTATAATAATATATAGAATGATAACAGTAATAAATAATAATAATAGTCTAGTCGGAACTCTCATACCTCTAATGAGGACGTATTAAAATAAAACAGTCCGGTTATGAAAAGAGAAAATTATGTCAAATAATTTGATGAGGGCAGTTAAAATTTTTTGGAAACATCATGCGGAAGAAAGGAATGGAAAATCTAACAACTACTGGAAAGATTGCAGAGAGAAGAGACAAACAGTCAACAACGACTTACATTCGTGATGTCCTGAAAGGATAAGACAAAAGAAAGAAGAAGAAGATCAGCAATTAATAATAATTAAACTCTTTTATTACAAGAAATCAATGACATAAAATAAAAAAATAAAATAAAGTATGGTCATTGACAAATAATTAAACGCACAATAAAACCCTATTACTCATTATCTATTATAAGTGTACTTAGGTGACATATTTAAACGATTATACAATGTTTCTGTCACAATAGATATATCATGTACTACGATATTTCTAACGCAGTAAATAGTGTATTTCGATTTAATAATAGGATTTGTCAATAAATGAATAAATGACACAGACTGCAAGATATTAAAATAGCCTATCGGAGTAATTTCTAATATGTTTAGAACAACTGAAAAGTTTTCAAAATCAGCTTTTAAACTAGAAGCTAAACTATTATTGTATGTTAGTTGTTTTTAATTCCTGGATTGTAATAAATATGTTTAGTTGCAAACAGTCAATTCTAGTACCTCAATTTTGTGGTCATGAAGAATGGCGATGTCTGGACGAAGAACATTGAACAGTTGCGACATTGGCAGGACTCAGTCAATTTCGATATCTGCGAATATCTGGGAATCCGCCGAAGAGTATTTTGTCAACCAATTGATGATTTCAATTAACATTGTTGTGATGTTTTGTATAACGTTTCAACGCAGTTACTGATCCACATTTAGGCACTACATGTTTCTTCGTTGGATGCGAGCCGCAAAGAAAACATAGAGGATCCTGTGTATTAACCCATCTGAGTAGATTATCGTTGGTTGTTGTTGAATAACATATTTTCTTGCAAATTTATAAAGTTAATCTTGCCTTTATCTAAATTTTTCGACTAGTGTTATTTTAGATGATATTGTGTTTGTTACCGACTTGATTATGGAATCCTGACTATGAAGCAAGTTTTAATTTAGGTAGGTTAAGGTTATTCGATTATCATCCAATTTTTTTAGTAGCTGAGACGTTGAGCTTGAATTAAAAAGCAAGTTGTTTATTATTTTGTCTTGTAGTCAACAGATTTTACTCGCAAAAGACAAAGAATTTCGTTATTTGAGTTGGTATTGAAATAACTGGGCAATTTTAATCTAATTCTTAACGCACTGTCCTCAAGGGAAACAATCTTTAACGGTAGACCAAGTATATCCGACAAATACACATCACAATATCAAATTAAAGTTGAGGAGTCGTAGATGCAACTGTTTGCTAATGACTCGTACATGATTCTTACATGAGTCATTAGCATATAGTTGACAAGTATAAGAACTCTATATAAACTTGATAGTGTTCAGTTCTTCACATTTTATCTTCATATCTTTTTTCCATTTATTTCGTGATAGGCGAGTGATTAAGGTGGCCTGGTGCGCGGGTTCGATTCGATTATATGACAAAAAATTTGATGCGTAGTTCACCACGTATTCATATACGATGTCTGTGACCTGTTGTTGATTTTCATGAACCTAGGAAGAGTGTGATATTTAACCCTTTTTTCTTTTTATGATCGCTTGGAGTGATTTTATGTACCTTAAACTAAATTCTTCTAAGTGGAACTAATATGTTTTAATAAATCTAAACATTCTGTAACTCTGTTAAAGTATCATCAGATTCTGAAAAACTTTAACCATAAAACTTTTCATTAACATTAAAATGATAAATAATGAAACATTCTCAGAAACTTGTACACAATTTAATGAACACACCTCTATTATCTTTTTAAAAGTAAATTTTCACACAACTTCGTACCACTACATTCCCTAAACTAAATATAATCTTGTTAATTTTGAAGAGCGGCTGGTGTCGATTGAGATGGATTACAATCTTTCACAGTTGTTGAAGTCGCTAATTTCTGCTAACGTACAAAACCAAACTGAAAGGAAGGTCAGTTAACGTTTGAGTTCGTGGTCTAGTAGCGAAATTTGATCAAAATTTTCCCGCTAAAATTGAATAGTTTAAATTTTAAAAGCTTTACCTTTAATTTAAGTTTAAAATTTTTTAAATATTTTTTATAAAAATTATTTATAATCTTATTAATCACATCAGAATAAAAAATATCACACAGCACAGACTATTCAAAATTAAACTGTATTTATTTATTAATTTAATAATAAATTAATATTTTTTTTAAATTATAAATGATGAATGGACCTCAGATGACAATAGATGTCTAGATCAAAAGTCAGAATGAAATCAAAAAAGAAAATGTAAATGGATAATTGGATTGATAATAAATAAGTTTTTTGTCAGCCATATATTTGTCAAAATTATTTTTAAATTTATTTACTGAATCAACTTCAACAAGACTGAAAGGTAAATTGTTTCAAATGGTAACTACTCTGCTGCTGAAAAAATATTTTTTTGTATTAGTGTTGAATCTTTGAACCTGTTATTGGTAGCGCTGACCTCTGGTTAGAGCTACCCCAAAGAAGTGTAGTGCCAGCAAGGATTCTCCTCCCACATTACCTACGGTGATGTTGTACAGTACCGTTGGATCACCTCTAATTATTTTGAACCTCAAACGGTAGCTTCAGGTGACCTATGTAGCAAAACCATCTACAATATCTGACCATTTTTCACATGTTTGATGACTCCAATTCATGCTTAGTGTACATCAAAAGCATGCTTAGTGTACACCATCGGCCTTGAGGATCATTGATTGATTGATATATATATATTAATAATTTAGTAATCCATTTATAATGTTGGTAATGACAAGAATTCCTTTCTTGTTAAAAGCTTAAATTTTTTTAAATCGTAAATAAATTCTATCTTTAAATTTACACAACTGAAATATTTTTTTAGAAATGGAAAGAAAATGTTAAATCAATGTTAGAAGATGAATCGGTTTGTAAAAAACTTCGATACAACAGCTTTGTTAAGAGTGAAAAGAAGGAAGCAGATTGGGAAACTATTTTTAAAGTTCACTCATTGTTGTTTTATTTTATTTTTATGTTTCTGAATTTAAACCTTCATCACCGTTTCATTTTTTGATGATCTAATTGTTTAATTGTGTTTATAAACATTATAATTATGCCCTACTTTTTAATTTCTTTGAAAATTTGGTTAAAAAATGTGTCAAAGAAGAACATGTGATTGAACAAAATTGTTCTAATCATTTGGTAATTCTAATTTTTTTGCAATTTCTCTAATCTAAGATATCAACAAAAAGCACACGTATATTGAATACGCATGGATTAATGCATCACACACATTGCATGTTATAAGCGAGGATCTTTTTGCATTTGAACCCAGTCATCACAACAGCCATGCCAAACACATTAACTAGTATACCGTTACTTCACCTCTATGAAGATATAGGAGTAGTTGTGAATAGATATTAGGGTGTGTCAATTTTATACCGGAAATTGATTTTTTTAGATTTTTAAAAACCAGGGGTTACAAAAAGATACATTTTTGTATGCTGAATCCAAATTAACCTTCAGATTTTAGATTTGAAAATTTTAAGCTTGGTAAATTTTATGTTGAAATTTCAGCTAAAATATTTATTTTCGTAATTTAGGAATTAATTATAAAAATCATCGAAAAAAGAAAACTAATTTTATGCAACGACAAATTTTATATTTTTATTAAATACTGAAATAGTATTAGCATTATATGCAATGTCTAATCAATGTTATGTCAATTACAAAGTAGACAGTTTCACAGCTTACAGCAAGTGTCAATTATTTCCAAACTTACAAGATGTCTTTGTGTCCTTCTTGCTCGCATGTCTACTCATTAGTTGTCTGCTGATGATCTGTGATCTAATATATCCATGCCTTCTTTCCTGACTGTAGACATGCTCATTTGTCTCTGTAACCATCTTGACACATCTCTCAATACTTTGAATGTGAGAGGGCCAGTCTGGGACTATCATTGGAGTGTGCAAAAATTGTTTGACTTGAGCCGTTGTTAAGCTACAAGTTAGAGGAGATTCATACATTTCAGAATCCCAATGAATGAGTTCAAGTAGGCTGCTGGCATCAGGATTGATCTCTGGTGTTACCCTTTGTCTTAAACTCATATCCCCCATCTGAACATTCTCATCTGCTTTTCCTCTGATCTCAAGAATCTTTTCAATTCCAACTTTTCTTTCTTCCTCCTTGTCACTACAAATCAGTGTCTTGATGACAGCTTCAGAATGTGCATACCAGGCTGATCTTCTTACCACAGGCATCACTATCTGCATCACCTCTTTGTCTTGGCTTCTCAAAAGCTCAAGCTGTAAAAGTACATGTCTCGGACCATCAATCCAACTATGCTTTACTTTGATGTTAAACCAATTAGTCATATAAACTCCGACTATAAATTCGACAATCAATTTCAAATTTATAAGTGGCATATCTTTCAGACCATGATTTGAAACCCATAATCTGCAACATCTTAGAGCTGTAGTCAACCATCTTGAGTGACAGACAGGTCCAATCTGTAAGTTCGCAAGCCTGTCAGGCACAACACTAGATCTGATAGCATTAACAATCATGTATCCATAATACTGGTCTGTGCTGAGGTCATCAATCAAACTCTGTTTTAACTCAATCAATGGAAGACCAACAGTTATCCTGATAAAATTTGGATTTATATCCAGGTCTACTGCATCATCAAATATTTTACCAATTGGTCCTGACCATCGATTATTGCTCAGTGTTTGACCATCCAATTCATGAATAAGATGTCTCAGTGGTAATTCATTTGTGTGAAGATCACATACCAACCAAACAAGATTTCTGCCAAGGGACACATCAGTAGCATTATTTCACAAATTAAAGATTCTTTCCTGGATTGTTACTTCATGAATAACAACAGGATATTTAAACTTAGAATTTGCTTTGGTCCACTGATAAAAGAGGGCAGTCATAATATCTTTAGAGAGTTTTTTTTGGTATAATTTTTTTGTCCTTCTCGCTCAACTTCCTTAGCAGAATACCGTATCTTAATAAATCTCTCACAGTTGGTAACTCTGAGGTAATGATCTCCCTGCCAGACCCCACATAATAACTAAGATGAGTGGAGGTCTTTCCTCTGGGAGGCCATAATCAGGATCAAAATAACAATGATAGTAGTTCTTTAATTTATTGCAATATCTGAAAAACATAAAAACAAGTTAACAACAATTTATGTGCGTTAATTGTGGTCTAATTTTATAACATACAATATTAGATGAAACTGCAAAATTTGATTAAAGAGATGCACTTCAAGCTTTACAAATGCTGCTTTAGGAATTTTTCATGATTTATAGCATAACTAACAATGGGGGTACATTCAACTTAGTCATGTTACCCGCTCTCCCGTAAATAATGTAGTATATTTGTAAAACTTTCACTCAAAATTTACCAAGCTTAAGCTTCAAAATTGAAAGACACCAACGGAAACAGGACATAAAAAAGCTTCTTTTGCCATGCCCTGGTTTTTTCAAAAAAAACTTTTTAAAATTTGACACACCTTAATAGATATGATATCTGCACGATTTGGTTTGCTTATATTTGTTTATACTAATATAAAGATCAATATAAACCGCTTATAACTGGTGGTTGTCGTCAGGATGGGTGTCCGGATGTAAAAACTTTTCCCCAAATTATTCCTATGCCATCAATGTTGGATCACTGACTGGCCGCAGCATGAAAATCGCAGAAATGCTCGAGCGTAGAAGGATTGACATCTGCTGCCTTCAGGAAACCCGATGGAAATCGAATGGTGTCTGTCATGTCAACTCAGACAAAGAAAAATATAAACTATTCTGGAATGGTCAAAAGAAGGCCAAAAATGGTGTTGGAATTTTTGTCAGAGAACCGCTAGCCCAAGAAGTACTGGATATTAAAAGGATTAATTCACGTCTCATGTGGATCAAGCTTCGCATAGAAAAGCAAACAATGATTATTTTTTCTGCATACGCACCACAGATAGGCGAATCAAAAGAAATGAAAAATGACTTCTGGACTGCATTCTCTGACACCATCTCAACAATACCAAAATCTGAAACAATCCTGATTGGAGGCGATCTCAATGGCCACGTTGGAGAGAAAACAGATGGTTTTGACAAGTACATGGCGGTTTTGGCTATGGAAAATGGACTGAAGATGGCAACCACATCCTTGAGTTTGCTGAAAGTCACGGGTTTTGTTTACTGAACACATATTTTAGAAAGAGGTTGGAACATTTCATAACATCAGCCACGCAAATTGATTTCTTTGCTGTCAAGCAACCACACCGAAGGCTGTTCAAAAACGTCAAAGTTATACCTGGCGAATCATGTGTCGCCCAACATAGACTCCTTGTGACAGACCTGTTTGTCGAACTGTCAAAACATAAGTCTAAACAAATGCCTCGGAGAATCAAAACTTGGAAGCTGAAAAGCAATTCATCGAGAAAAATTTCAACAGATTGTCGCCACACAGTTAGACCACCAATCGCAAGCCAGTACAGATTGGAGTACATACAAAACCTTTTTAATGAACGCTGCAACTACAGTTTGTAGGAAAACTGGTACAAAACGTCAGCATGAACGTGACACTTGGTGGTGGAATGACAGTGTACAAAATGCAATAGCTGAAAAGAAAGTTGCATACAAGCAATGGCAAAAATCAAAGTCTGTAGATGACCATAAAATTTTCCGTGAGAAGAACAACTATGCAAAACGTCAAGTTGCACTGGCTCGGACAGATCAGTGCAAAGAGTGGCTCACTAAAAGCAAAGGTGAACAAATGAAATCTCTGTATCGTATAGCAAAACAAGCAAAGCGTACGAAAAAAGACAGTTGGTGCCTCATGTATCAAAAACGACAAAAATGATATGATTCTTGAACAAGATGAGATCAAGCTACAGTGGAGAGAATACTTCAATCGTCTGTTAAACGAAACAAATCCCATCAATGTTAACTTTGACGCTCCACCCATCGAAGGTCCGATTCCAGACATCACTTTAGAGGAGCTTACAGAAGCTCTGAAAGCTATGAAGGATGGAAAGGCAGCAGGGCCCTCTGGACTCACAAATGACATTATCAAAGCATCTGGTACTGCAGGTATCCAAACGTTACTACAACTTTGCCTTGAAATCTGGAGAAATTGCTCAATGCCGACTGAATGGAACTATAGCATGACAGTCCCGCTATACAAAGGCAAAGGTGATCCATTGAACTGTTCATCATATCGGGGTATACGTCTGTTAGAACACTCCCTGAAAATTGTCGAAAAAATCATTGAGAGAAGATTAACGTCGTGCATCACAATTGGAAATTATCAATTTGGTTTTCTAGCGGGGAAATCAACGATTGATGCAATTCACATCCTTCGGCAACTGCAAGAGAAGTACCTCGCAAAGCATCAACAACTATCACACATTTTTGTAGACCTTGAAAAAGCATTTGATCGAGTTCCCCGTGAAGCAATCAGATGGAGTCTACGTCGACAATTCATTCCAGAATATCTTTTTCGACTTGTGATGGAAATGTATACGAATACTAAACCTTTTGTCAGCACAATGGTTGGAAACACAGATGCATTTGACATTGGCGTTGGAATTCACCAAGGCTCGATTCTCAGTCCACTGTTATTTATAACTGTGATGGAAGAAATCACAAAACCGATACGCACTGGTGACATTTGGAATTTAATATATGCTGATGATATCGTTTTAACAGCCACGTCTGAGCAGAATGCAGCACAGATGTTTGAAGATTGGAACACCAGACTCGCTGATCATGGATTCAAAGTCAACATCAGCAAAACCAAAGCAATGAACACTGGAGAACCCATCCAATCCACAGCTACTGGACGATGGCCCTGTTCAGTTTGTAAAGCTGGTGTAGGTAACAATTCAATCAAGTGTCAGCAATGTAACCAGTGGTGTCACAAACGTTGTTCAAAAATAGTTGGTACTTTATCTAAAGTGTCCAATTTTGTTTGTCCTGCTTGCATCAATCCACAACAACAAATTCGAAATAGCACTGTTTTTGAAGCCATTAAAATAGAGAAAGTCACATCGTTTCAATATCTAGGGGATGTTCTGGATTGTACTGGAACAGCTGAAGCTGCCGTTCGAGCACGCATACGTGCAGACTGGAATAAATGGCCAATGACAACCAAACTGAAACAACAACTTCAACGAACCGACATGAAAATGCTCCGATGGATGCAACGAATTAGTCTGATGGACCACATCAAATCTACCGAAATCCTGCGTCGTGCTGGTTTAGATGATATAAAGGACAAATGCCGACAACACCGTCAGCGGTGGTTTGGTCATGTCAAACGAAGTGGAAACAGTGCCATAACTTCTCTTGCAGATGTTGAAGTACCTGGCACACGTCCCAAAGGCCGTCCAAAGAAGTCCTGGTCGCAAACAATCGAGCAAGACATGAAAGCTCTAAATTTAAATGAAATGGATACAACTGATCGTCTAATTTGGCGCAAAAAGTTGATGGCAAAGAAAACAACGTCCTACCTCCGGGAACTGGGTCTCTGGACGCAAAACGAAGATTGATATATATATTTATAATTATTATTATATAATTTTGGTCTTTTACCAACACACACACACAAACACACACACACACACATATATATATATATATATAATATCTATATATATATATAAAACATCAGACCTTTGTAAGAATAGATTGAATCATGATCAATGACTAAACACTAAACATAGCGATCAACAAAATAAGGATTGCTTTTTATCATCAAACCAAAAATACACAATCTCATTTTTTTATTTGCCGTTCCCGTATTTTTTGTTCACTAGATTAATTTTTTATTGATTTTCAGTATTTATTTATTAAGTTTATAAACAAGATAATTTTAATGTGGTAGTAATGGTTAAGACTAAAAAGTTACTTTACCATATTAGAAAATGATTGTAAGTTCCAATGTTCAAACAATGGATTTATAATTAAACAATCGCAAAGTCACCGTCAGTCAATTAAATCACATTATGATGTATTTAATTATTTAATTAATTTTAATTTATACTCGTTCATTGTTAACCAGATGGTTTTGAAAATTTTGAACTACGACATATCAACAATTACAAAGTTGAAAGCAGAAAATAACAAAAATAGATTGGATCACATTTGTCTTCTGAAAATTGTTATACAAAAATCAGCAACTGGTAGTTTTTTTTACATTGTTTAAAGACATTTGTTTTCTTTGTATGATTTTCTTATAAGAAAATTTTCATGTCCTTTGCAAATTTAGTTGGATAAAATGATGAATAAAACGTTGCACACAAGCAGCAAGTTCATAAAGAGAAAGACCTGTGCAACATTTCACCAAGTTATTTTGAGATTCTCTTATTATTCAGTTATGAACACAAAGTTGTGAATAAGGCTGGTTGTTGGCAAATATAAGCTTCATAAAAATAAATCACATCACTCATTACTTATTAACCACTGGTTTTTCTTATTGCTGTAATTTTGTCAATGATCTTTGTGTGCATGCAGTTATACCCATTAAAAAGGATAACACTGGCAAAAAGGGACTCGAAAATTACAGACCAATATCTAAAACATTTGTTTCACTTAAAAAATCAAACGTGTTGTCGCAGGTGAGATTTTAAGTCATTTTAACAAAAATAATTCGCTGCAGTTCACCAGTCTGGACATCATTCAACTGAGATATGTTTTGCATTGCCATATGTTTTGTTCGAATTATTTTCTTCAATTGACACAAAACGCTGCTCCTCTCTCATTTTTAGACTTTTGGATAGATTAATTTACGTCTTTGTCATTATAGAAACGGTTATAACGGTGTTCAACTCTTACTTATTTAGAAAGACTCAACGGGTACGGATATTTTAATTGAAAGTTGTCTAATATGAAAGCAGTGCCAACTGGAGTACCATAGGGTTCAATTTTGTCTATGAGGTACACCGCGAAAGTATTTAACTTAATTGATACCTTTAGTTTTTCTTATCATGCTTACGCAGATGATAAATTTAATAGCAGTGAACCAGAGGGGTTTGAACTTTCAGTTGAAAAGCTAATTAAATGCTTAGCTGAAGTAGATACATGGATGTCAACAAATTGTCTCAAGTTAAATCTAAATGAATCAGTTTTTTGCATATAAGCACTTGGTACCAGCTATCAAGAATCAATATTCTATTATAATTTAAAATGATGAGATACATTTCTGCAACAAAGCTGTTACTTTGGGATATATTTTGACCCTAGGTTAAAAATTTAATAAACACACGAAGTCACTGTCCAAATCATGTACTTTAGAGCTTCAACTAATATACCAAATAAGAAAATACTTATATTAAACTGAAACACAGTTGTCGATACACACGTTTGTGCATTCTAGGATCATTGTAATGGCCTATTAACAGATTTATTGCTTCTTTTCAGTCTTCTCAGGACAGAGCTGCAAAGGTGACCATGGATAGCAGAAAATTTGACCACGTTACGCCAATTTTAATCAACCTTCATTAGCTAAAAGAATATATTTTAATAGGCGCTTTACAAATGATTGATGATATTCATAAATATCATCATCCCCATCATCATGTACGTTTATAGGTGTTTGTAACGTTTATAACCTCCCAGTGTTCGTTGCAGGGTTTGTTGACAAAAGACCCGGGTTGGCCTTGTTGCATTTTCACGCACATTTAACCGTCTTTCATTTTTTTCTATTCTGGGTCAGTTTTATTTCAGGCCAGTGCTCTCATGTCCTTTGACAACACTTCTTTCCAGATGAATTAGAGTCTGCCAATTTTCCTTAAGCCGCCTGTTATAATGGTTCTACATTTCTTTACCCAGTCCTCATTTGCTTTTTTTTCCACTAGTCTTATACCTCTTATTACATCGACAACTCATTTACTCCTAACCCCTTTTTTATTACCTCATTGCTTGGACCCTTCCTCAAGGATACTTCCATTATTCTCCTCAACATCTGCATTTCTGTTCTCTCCAGCCTTTTTAAGTTTTCAGTTGTCATTGCCCAAGTTTTGCACCCATGCAACAGGCAACTTCTTACACATGGCTTTATATATCTTACCTTTCAGACTGAAGTCATTTCTCTGAAATTTTTTCATCCTACTTTTATTCTATTCTCGACCGCTCTTTCTGATCCACCCTCCTTACTTAGTACATCACCTAGATAACAAAAGGACCCCACTCTTTGAAATCCAAAATTTCCCGGTTGCCCAGTGTCACCATTTTGCTTGGTAATATCATTCAATCTACATTGTTTACAAACAAATTTCTTGCTTTTGTGGAAGTTTGTAGGTTCATTCATCACATTTTACCCATAGTTTTGAATTTTCTCCGACTCCTTTACCACATACCGCACAGGAGAATTTACCACGTTCAAGAATATCTGGATCCTCTCCGCTCCACACAACTTAGGTCTTACCAACATTTACCTTTAAACCCTTTCTTTTTACGGATATCTTCCACACTGAGAGCTTTTCTTTCAGTTCTTCTTCACTCTCCGCCATAAGAGCATGTAGAAATTCCATGGCAACCCACTTCTGATCTCCCTACTAATAATTTTCATTACTATAATAAAAAGTAGAGGACTTAGAGCCGAGCACTGATGTAAACGTATCTGAACATCAAGCCACTTACGTACACTATCGTTAATCCTTACCACTGTCCGGGCTCTTTTAAACATACACATCACTGTGTCCATCAACCATTCTTCTACCTCGCCTTTCGACCTTTTTTTCCACCACTATGTTTCTTTAGGTTACCTGACACGGTGACTTAGCTGCACTCAGCATACTATTTTTAATTTTAACTCATGATTTCCCTACACCCAGATCCTTATCAATGATACCCCCAGTTCGAATCATATTTTGATAGGCTTTCACATGGTTTCTGTTTTTTCAAACTTCAAGTTTTAATTCTGGCTCTGTTGTCTTTTTTGTCTTTCCTTTCCGCCTTAGTATTCAATCACATACTAGGTGCTTATGCTGCTTAACACATTCCTCATTACAAAATTTTCTGACATTTTTAACAAACCTGTGGTTTTTCTTTTTTTTTTTTTTTGCCTAATTAAAATCTACTGTGCTCTTGTTCTTCTCTGGTTCATACGTTATTAAATGGCATGGTTTCTTCTTAAACCAAGTGTTGTAAATCCTCATAATTTTTCAAGTTGTTAATATGAGCGTTAAGAGTTGCCTTGATTTGATCCGCAAATGCTGGAGGATTTGCTTGATAAAGTTTTGCATAGTTGAGATGACCATGGACAACTCAATCAGAAAATTTTCCTGTGAGATTTGTGGTATATTTTTGCAAGCAAATGCCAGTTTCGAACCAATTCCCAAAAAATTGTTGAAATACTTTAATACTAGAAATAAACAACATTGATGAATTCTGGTACAAAAATAACTATTACAAACAAAACTTTCGTGCCGTAATTATAAGCAATAAATTGTATCTCTTTTTTTCATTTATGTTTTTAACAGGACGAAGGCTCTGTTTAAAAACGTATACAGTTGTAAAAGTTTTGAACCAATTTTTGAAAGATGAAAATCTTTGTGATTGGTTTGGTAATGATATTTTGAATATTGCATTCAAGTTTTATCTCTCCCTTCAACATGCTTGGATTAATCTTGAAAAAAAATATTCAATAGGTACCAAATTTTATTTTTTTCAATTTATTAAAACTTATGTATGCTCTACAAACCATAAATATAAGGTGTCTGAAATATCAAGAACCATAAGTTTGGCAATGAATTCAAATATTATATTTGGCGGGTAATACGGTTACAAGTTTGTTGTACGCATGGGTGGTTGAACGGTTTAATATTCTTATATGGTGATTTGTGTTTTTCAAATACGTTCTGATGAAAGAGGCAAGATGCTGGTTGATAATTTTTCAATGATCTTAATTAGTATCTTGGAAAGCTGGTGAAAAGTTTAAGGTTAACTATTCATTGTGTGATACTCTTTTTCAGCATATCACTTGATTGTGGGAGTTTAAAGAAACTTATCTAGGTATGAGAACAAAAAAATCAATGATATCACTATATGCTACATACAGCAAATACTTCAAAAGAAGTTTCAGTTAGATGTCTGAGGTGTGTTGTGAGTTGTAAAAACTGAGAGAGAGAAATTTTAAAAAGCAACGACCACAACAATTTTTCACTTGTTGAATTTCATTAATTAACTCCAAAATATTTATACAAAATAAATTACAGAAATGTTATCACACTTGATAAATGTACTTGAACGTTTGAATCAAAAAAGTCTGACTCCAAATTTTGATATTGTTTCAATATCCAAATACCTTTATATGACTGTCAAATATTTGGGGATGACCAATGTTGAGAGTGATGAAAATCACTACAGTCGGATACTCAACATCACTACAGATTATCTTAAAAATTTTAGGTCAGTTTTTAATTTCATTTCAGAGGAAACTCTTCGTGAATGACATTGAAGTGTTGAACACTTTCAACTATTACATTGTTTAAAAATTAAAAATGATGTTTCGTTAATATCACATTAAATGGCCGACTTAATACGTTTGCAGCTTGAGAGATTTTTTGAAATTTTTCAAAGAAGATCTTTATATTTTTGCAATACACATATTTCAAATAAAAATTTTTTTCAAATATATTTCAGTAACGTACTTAGGAATTTTTTTTAACTAGATCAAACTTCAACAGTTTGGCTTATTGTTATCAGCTGAAAACATTCAACATCGTATCTTCTCTATGGATTCTTGATTTACAAATGTTAATAGGTAAAAATGGCGAAGAAATTTTTTCAACCGCTCTTCATACTTTAAATCAGAAAATAACTGATCAGTTGAAGGTATGATTCATTATTATTATATATAATTAGTTCATTATATTGTCGTTGTTGTCATTAATTTTGATATTATTATTATTATTATTTATGGTTATTATTATTATTATTAATTCTCAGAGGTAACACATTCAGTGCATCAAATCCACATGCACTGATTGTGATTGGTTGGGATCTCTTTGTAACATTACACAATCGCTGTCCAATTTTAAATTCATTAGTTAAATGCAGTAGATCTACCACAAAGTAATTATATTATTATTATTATTATTATTATTATTATTACTATTATTAAGAACCAAAAAATGGGCAAAAAATTAATTTCCTAAGCTCACATCAATGAAAATTACATAAATTAAATATCTTTTTCACATTAAACATAAAAAAGAATAATAATTAATGAAGAAAGAAAAAAAAGTTATTTATCTACATAAGTATCCAGATCCAACCAAATGATTGTTCCAACATTATATACCAAATAATAATAAAAATATGATGATTTTTTACATAGAAATATTCTCATTCATTAACCGCATTCAGTGGAGCGATTGATCCAACATCATAAACCGGCTTTCCAACCAAATTTAAAATCCACATTCATTAAGGCATCATCCAATTTTGTTTTAAATCCATTCACTCCAGAGGTATTGACAACATCTTTATGTAAACCGTTCTAAATGTTTAATATTCCAATAATATCAATAATTCTTTTTCAAATTGCAGCCAAATGGTAAAGGTTTGAACTCTTTCCTTAACTATTTTGGTTGTTCTTTTTCGAACTCTTTCTATTGCTTCAATCTCACGTAGAGTCCATGGAGACCATACCGTTGCCGCATATTCTGTCTGTGACCTAACTGCTGATTTATATTTTTCTGATTTTTGGTTTTTTGTAATCATTTCCATTACCATTTAAAACATTCAAAAATTTAAAAAAAAATCAAAAAAGTATTTTAAACATTTCGAAACGATATTTTATTCGACCATTGAAGATTTCACAACAAAACGCAATTTTAAGTTTGAGTATTGATATATTATTAATAAATGCGGGAATGAAAAATGAAAAAAAGATTAAAAAACTTTCACTAGTATTTAAACGTTTTGATGTTTTTGAAAATTACCGACTTCTGATATATACAAAAATACATTTACAAACAAGCATGCATTCCAAATAATACACATATAATATCCACATTCATTCTAGCGCCATTATTATTATTATTATTATTATTATTATTATTATTAGCAAATTTTTACATCAAGAAACAATCAAACAATGGGAAATTAATTGTTGAACGATAAGTTTTGAAAATTAATAAATGTAAAATTTCAAGATTTAAAAAAACTATTGTTGGAAATCTATAAGGTTTATACTAGGGCATCGAATCTTAATTTTTTTCGTTTCGGTTTACGGTTTCGGTTTAATCAGCCAAACGAATTTAGGTTCGGTTCCCGTTTTCGTTCCTGAAATAATATCGTTTTTTTTTTGGTTTTCGGTTTCGCTCCGAAACTTAATTTTTTTAAGCATGTTCCTTAAACGCATGTAACGGATATACTGACATTCAACTATCACCACAATGTCAATTTGAATTAAATTTTAGATTGTGAATAATAAGAAATCAATAACAAAAATGATTTTTAAATGTTGTCAGTATCAAAGGAAACGTTTCTAATATTTTTTCTACAAATTAAAACAGTCATTACAAAGATATTTTGAAATCACTCATAAATATAAGATTGTTTAAAAAAAGATAAAAATTTCCTCTGATTATTTAATTATTAATATATCTTCTAGAATGTTTTCATTGGAACCATTTCTGCAGTCTCTGAGGATAAATTTAAATCTAAAAACAGATGCTTCCAGGCTCACTTATGTAGCTGGTACTTCAAAATTTTGAAGATGATTGCACTTGATCTCTAATTTTTCCGATTATACTGGATTTCTCTTCACGTGGCAATTCTTACTCAAATTATCGGCGAACTCAGTCGGAAAAACAAACGAAAAGAGAGATACCAAATTTTCAAAGATTATAAAAATTAAACGAAATATTATCTAAATACTTTTTTTCTGAATTTGACAAAAATATTTTCTTTTAAATTTTTAGCATCGAGCCGTTATTTATTTCGTTACGGTTTTCGGTTTCGGTTAACCTAGCAAACATTATTTCGGTTCGGTTACGGTTTTTATTCCAAGCAAAATTTCGGTTTTTAACGATTTTCAGTTACGGTTCGATGCCCTGGTTTTTACAAATTCACAAGCAAAAGTTCGCAAGCTAGATTCCAGGTTTTATTTTATAACGAATAGTAGAATTTTGATGAAAGCATTACCTCAATTTCATGAAATCAACTTGAAAATTATTGAACATAACCTTCACAGGATGAGTTGATGATCTTTTTTCACATCCAACTGACCCTGCACAATCCGTGTGGAGAAGATTGGCTTAAGTTGTGCAGGGAACGAACACAACTGTACACTTTGAGTGATGAAGAATGGAAGGTAGGTTTACATCATTTATTATATGTAACGAAGCTATCAATTAATATAGGCAATGAAACTAGGTTTACATCAATTTATATATGTGATCAAAGTAAGTTTACCTCAATTAATGTACGTAATTAAGATTGATTTACATCAATTATGTAATGAAGGTAGATCTACTTAAATATATGTAATGAATAAAAGTGACGAAGATAAATTAGGTTTACATTAATTAATTATTCAATGAAGGTGTAGGTTTGCGTTGTATGTTAATATATTTGATAAAGGTTCTTTTGCATCAGGTAATATTAATATTAAAGTATATAACGTATATAATATATATACATATAAGGTATATAATTATCCCATTGATATTTTGAAAATTATTCATATCATAAAATCTACATTTTTTGTTTAAATTAATTTCAAAGACCTTTCTAGTGCAGTTGTTTGAAAATTTGGTTGAAAGTTTGAGGAAAGACCATTACAGGAGCAAGTTTTCAACGAAGTAAGAATTTTTTTAGCTAAATCATTAAATATAATTTGTTTATAGGGTGTAAATAATCTTAATCCCGTTACGCTTAAACTCGTTACACTTGGAATGAATCCCGACTACACTTGATCTCGCGTACACTTGATTCCGTTTTTATCATGTTTCGAATTTTATTGAACATAACGGTGACATTAGTAGTATATTTAAACAGCTAATTATGATTGAATCGTGGGTTTATCGTTGTATTTTTAAGCCTATTTTTATCATCTATCGTCCTATAACGTTTTCACAAGTTGCGAACTGGTGTAATGTTAAGATTCTGCTGTTGCAGTGTTCAATTACAAAAAATTTTATGTTTTTAATAATTTTCAAAATATCAATGGAATGGTTAAATATGTTACATGATGCTAAAGTCTATCACGTGCAATTCAGCGTATTCACACATGCTGTGCAATTTGCTTTGATATGAGAAACAGTTGAAGATTAAGGTTAATAATAATAATATTTTACTAATAATAATAACAATAATAATAATATGACAATAACATAAAAAGTTGGAATTCGTGATTAATCGTTGTCGGGATCAAGTGTAGTCGGAATTAAGCGCAGTTTTTATGTTAAACGTTTTGTGTTTATTAAATATTCTTAATTCATTTATCACTTCATTTAGAAATCATCAAGGATCATTCTTAAACAGTTCTTTCGTAAACCTGCTTTCCGAGCTCGTTTATGTGGTAAGCTTATTTCATTTTTATTGTTATTTGATGACAGTAAAATAAAAATAATGATGTATAATGATGTGTGTATATATATATATATATATATATATATATATATATATATATATATATATTTCGGAACGAGGTTTTCTTTAATACAAACATCGTTGAAGATATATGCCCATTTTGCATTAATGACTTTCTTTAATGAACGCTCAACAAGTCTGAATTTATTAAACTCGTATTTATTTAAAACAATAGACATGGTAAGGCTAACAGCGCTGTTTCGGGAAGTCCATCTTCAGAGCCTATGAAAATAAGAATAGCATGAAATATTTTTATAAAATTAGAATGCATATTAAATGTGTAATAAAATTATTAAGAAAATAACGAGAAACCTTTGTTAGTGAAAACAATGCAAAACATGTACAAATTAAATTTATGGTTAAAAATATAAATGTATATAAAAAGTTAGTAAAATAGTATTAAATTAAATATTAAAACAAATAAATTAATACTGAAATTTAGTTCAGTGAAAATTTGTTAAAATCGGATGATGTAAATAAAACGTAAATAAGTTAGTTGAATGTGAAAAGAAGACATGTGTGGAAAGAATATGGAAAATTGTCAAAATTAATTATTAAGTTTATAATGATATATAAGAAATTTTAATAAACGAATCCGTAAATGAAACAACTAAATTAGATTAAAATGGAATATAGACTATTTATGAAAAAATATAATGGAATAAGATAAAATAAATGAAATAAAATGAAAAAATAAAATAAAATAAAACAAGTAATTGTAATGTATCACAGCTAATATGGATGTTAAGATGCACTGTCGAATACGAAAACCAGCGATACGGAAACATTAGTCCTATGACGAGTGGTAACATGTTCACCATTAAACAGTATCGCTTCTTTTGGCATTGGCTCGTATTCGAAGTGGCGCACATTTGGTGGTTCTATGATATTGGTATGAACGGCACGTTGTGGACTATCATGTCTATACTGGGAGTAAAGATGTAGGCTATGATCAAATGTGTTAAATTGTTTATTCATAGCGGGTTTATTCTTGTAGATGTATAAAGCTTCTTTAATTNTGAGGCGAACTGGGTTGGGTGCGATTCACGTTCAAGTATTTTCGTGTTAACATCAAGTAATGCTCTGGTTAGTGGCAAACCGTGAGATTTGAGCATATGATCTTTAATGGCACCGTTCTGTACGTGCATCGTAAGCCTTCTGGCCAGAGTAGTACGCGTATGCCCAACATAATTTTCCACAACACTGTGTGGCATAGGACAATTGAAGCTGTACACCACGCTACTCTGTTCCAAAATAATTGTAGAATGTCTATTACTATTTTTTATTATTAAGTTAGAAGTCCGGTTAGTTTTATAATATATGATGAGTTTAAGTTTATGTTCACCATTACACATGGAGATATTAGATTTTATAATATTTTTAAGTTGAAATTCGTCTATTTTGTAGTTGTCATGCATTTGATTAAAGTAAAAGATCGGTATTATTGTTTTTGTTGAAGCCGATGGTAGCAAAGGAACAGATGTTGAGTCACTGATTTTATTCAAGTATTTGCGAATAATGGTATCTATTAACTTGTTCGGGTAATTATTGTTTATTAAGAATTGTTTGATTCTAACTAATTCACTATGAAAAATAGTGTTATTGGATGAAATTTTATATGCCCTGTGCACAAAATTATAAACTACGTTATATTTATATTTTTCAGGGCAATCTGAGTTGTAATTAAGCACCTGACCTGAGTTGATTGGCTTAACATAGACCTTTGAAATTAATTGTTTCTCGTGTTGCATGATAAGACAATCCAAAAACGCAATTTCATTTTCTTTGCTGAACTCGATAGTAAATTTTAGATGGGAATTGTTTTGGAAAACATTCCGCAAACAGTACACATCAGAAACCGTTTTGCAAATGACGAATATATCATCAACATATCGTGCATATATCAACGGCTTGTTATCTGGGTCTTTAAATATGCGAGTTTCAAGATCCGACATATAAAACTCAGCAAAAAGTGGGCCAAGAGGAGATCCCATCGCCACACCATCCACCTGCAGATAAAGTAAACCATCGGGAGCAGTGAACGGACTCTGAACAGTGCACAATCGCAAAATATCTTTGAGTAAATCTGGATGTATATCAAGCTGAGGTAGTGTGGGATGGTTGTAAACATGTGAACATATGATGTCGATAGTATGTTCGATTGGAACATTTGTGAATAGGCTCTCGACGTCGAGAGAAGCCATATGTCCATCACACTGTTTATTGCCATTTATGATATCAATAAACTCACAACTAGAATTAACAGAAAATGTGCGTGGAATATACGGTTGTAACAGTTTATTGATTGTTTTTGCCAACTGATATGTAGGCGTGGGGCACTGTGAAATGATAGGACGCAAAGGGTTATTCAACTTGTGTGTTTTCACGTTACCATAAATATATCCAGGAGCGTAATCTCCTACGATAGGCGTAAGTTTGTTGATAGTTGAGGCTAAATTAACTTGTGCAATCAACTTATTGGCCGATGTTTTTATATCGCTAGTAGGATCTTTTGTAATGCGTTCAAACTTAGTAGTGTCAGCCAGGATATTATTGATTTGCTGAAGGTAATCTGTTTTATTTAGTATCACATACATATTAGATTTATCTGATTTACGTATCGTTAGATCAATGTTGGAACGGAGACGTTTAGCCGCGTTGAGTAATTCCCTCGAAAGAACAGGTTTGCGATATCCATTTCGATGTCGATGAGATTCAGCCTGCAGTTGACTGTGTAAGCCATGTTCAAAGTCAATAATCCGTTGCTTTTTCAATCTCTGAAGTTGATTGTATAGCATCTCCAGCTCTACTTCCTTGTGTATATTGCTATACTTGTGTCTAAAATGCATATTCAAACCTAAATTCAAAAAGGAAACTTCATCGTCGGCTAGGGTATGATTAGAAAGATTAACGTATGATTGGATAGTGTTGTCAGGGAGAATAATGCTACCTTTAAACAAATATTGCAGCTTTTTTAAGATTATTTCACGTTTAGTTGAGTTATAAGAGTCATATTTTTGTTGTGTGTAAGCTTTGAAGTTGTTAAAATCAATCTGTCTATCTTTTTCAATATCGTCAAGGATACTTTTATACTGTTGAGTGGCACAGGATTCTTTCTCTCGCGCTTGGTCAAGTTGTTGCTGGAGAAGGTGAATATGTCCTGTGTGTGGTATACCTCGGGGCAAATTTCTAATATATTTCGGAACGAGGTTTTCTTTAATACAAACATCGTTGAAGATATATGCCCATTTTGCATTAATGACTTTCTTTAATGAACGCTCAACAAGTCTGAATTTATTAAACTCGTATTTATTTAAAACAATAGACATGGTAAGGCTAACAGCGCTGTTTCGGGAAGTCCATCTTCAGAGCCTATGAAAATAAGAATAGCATGAAATATTTTTATAAAATTAGAATGCATATTAAATGTGTAATAAAATTATTAAGAAAATAACGAGAAACCTTTGTTAGTGAAAACAATGCAAAACATGTACAAATTAAATTTATGGTTAAAAATATAAATGTATATAAAAAGTTAGTAAAATAGTATTAAATTAAATATTAAAACAAATAAATTAATACTGAAATTTAGTTCAGTGAAAATTTGTTAAAATCGGATGATGTAAATAAAACGTAAATAAGTTAGTTGAATGTGAAAAGAAGACATGTGTGGAAAGAATATGGAAAATTGTCAAAATTAATTATATACAAATTGTTGTTTTCCAAATTCATGGTCGAGGTTTACTACCAATCTGCCGGAGGCTTTTTTTAAATTTGTCAGGAAGGCATTAATTCAATAACTTCCTACAAATGCCAATCTCTCCAGATGGAATAAGTCTTCCAACGCATTGTGTCCTCTCTGTAACGCATTGCAGACAAACAAGCACTTCCTGTCAAATTTTGGTTTCGTAGCAGCTTTAAAAAGATATACAACACGTCATAATAAAATAATGTCTTTGATTCTGGAGAAGATTGGATTGCTTGCTAAATCAGACGTTACAATTTTTGCCGATACGACTAACGACGATTTTATCTCAGTATCGTCCCTTTTCAAATCACTTCGGCCCGATATAGCACTCCTACGAGGTGATTCGATCGAAATATTAGAATTGACAGTCTGTCACGAATCCAACTTTACCACATCAAGGAACTACAAAATATCTAAATACCAGAACATTCACAACAATTTGGTCAACATGCTGCATCCAACGAATCATCTTCATGTCATTTCGGTGAAGTTGCTGTTCGAGTTTTGTTGTCATCGGCCACGTCTCTGCATCATACATTAGAACAGAACGTATAGCTGGTTGTATACTTCTGAGCGCAGCGGTTGAGGAATGATACGCCGCATCAGTACCGAGGCAAGGTGCCATCTACCCCACGCCGCACGTATGCGTCCACGAACGACGGCATCAGCTGTTCCAGTACAATCCAGCATATCTCCCAAACACTGAAATGAAGTAACAGTTTTGATCCCGGTAATCGTATCATTATCTGGGCTCTGTTGTCGCGGGTTGATGCAGGCGGGGCATACGAAATCAGTCCTTTCCTCAGTGAGCCGGTAATTCTCGAGCATCGTCTTTGACACCACTGCTGACATCGTAGGCATTTGATCGAGTTGCTTTCAACTCCAGCCCCACACTCCGAACATGGCCAATGACCAGAGACCACAGGCTCAGCTGCCCACCAGTGATCATAGTTTTTGTTTTATCAAGGTTTACCTTTAGCCCGTGTTCGGCAAGCTGGGTATTTCAGACCTCAAACTTTCTGCTGTGTCTTGTTCCGAGGCCGCCGTCAGGACGATATCATCTGCATATATCACATTCCATATGTTATCTGAGCGTATCGGTTTGGTTATTTCTTCCATCACCGTGATGAAGAGCAGGGGGCTGAGTATTGATCCCAGATGGACGCCGACGTTAATATCAAATTCATTCGTGTTACCGGCTGTTTTGCTGACCAGAGTTTTTGTGTTAGAGTACGTTGCCATAACCAGCCGAACCAGATATTCGGGAACAAGCTGTCTACGTAGACTCCTTCTGATTGCCTCACAAGGCACTCTGTCAAAAGCCTTTTCTAAGTCCACAAAGACATGGAACAGTCGCTTTTGCTTTGCCATGTATTTTTCCTGTAGTTGACGAATGATATAGATAGCATCAATGGTGGATCTCCCTGCCATGAAGCCGTACTGGTAACCACTTATTGAAACGCACGACAGCAGTCTTCTCTCAATGAGTTTTTAAAAAACTTTCATGGGATGTTCCAGAAGACGTATACCTCGATATGAGGAGCATTTCAGTGGATCTCCTTCTCCTTTATATATTGGCACAGTTGTGCTACTGTTCCATTCCACTGGTAGTATTGATTTACTCCACATCTCCCGACAGATGTGTAAGAGGGCTCTGAAGCCTGCACCACCAGATGCCTTGATGATATCATTTGTAAGTCCAGACGGACCAGCCGATTTACCCATCTTCATAGCCTTCAACGCATCCGTAAGTTCCTCTGCTGTGATGCCCTGAATCGGTCCTTCCACCGGAAGTGCATCAAAGTCTATCCCAATAGGGTTTGTTTCATTCAATAACTGATCGTAGTAATTCCAGTGATCCTTCATTTCATTCTGCAAGGTTATTATGGTGCCTTTATTATTCTTTATGCATGTAGCACCAACTATATCTTTTTTCAGTCTTTTGGCCTGATTTGCTATTCGGTAGAGTGACCGAATTTGTTCGCCTTTACTTCCAGACAGCCATACCTTGCACGAGGTATCACAACCTGACATTTTGCTTTTGTGTTCTTTGATCGGTATGTCTTTCGATCTTCATCAGTCTTCGTTTTCTGCTATTGTTTGAAAGCTGCTTTCTTACTGGCAATAGCATTTTGCACCGTCTCGTTCCACCACCAAGTTTCGCGGTTGTGCTGGCGTTTTGGTCCAGATTTTTCACATACAGCTGTTGCATCGTTCACTAGGGTGTCCTGAAGATTTCTATGTTATGTCTACCTTCTCTAGACGATCCAGCTGTGCCGATACCAACTCCTCGAATTTTTCCCTGAACATGGGTTTCTTCAGTTTTCATGTCTTAATTTTAGTAGGCATTCGATTAGTCACAGGGCGTGATCGTTCCATGATCATATCAGCCATCAGCAATCGATGTTGAGGGATGCATGCTTCGCCTGGAATGACTTTTGTATTCCTGAATAGTCGTCTGTGTTGTTGTCTGACGACAATAAAGTCAATTTGTGTGCATGACATCCCGCTTTTATATGTTATCAAATGTTTTGCCCTCTTCTTGAAATAAATGTTCAAAAGGGAGAGTTCATGGCTTTCAGCAAATTCCAGAATCCTTATAACGTCTTCGTTTTGAGACTCGTAGCCAAAGCCTCCATGACACCGTGGAACCCATTTCCTTTATCTCCAACACGGCCGTTGAATATCAATGGTATCTCTGATGATGGTGTTTTCTTGACGGCATCTGAGAGTGTGTTCCAGAAGTCATTTTTGGCGTCTTCAGATTCATCGGTCTGTGGTGCATATGCAGTCAGAACCTGTTTTTCCGTTCTGAGATTAATCAGCATTAGGCGTGAGCTGATTCGAACTACCTCCAGTACATTTTGTGCCAGTGATTCCCGTATGAAGATTCCAACTCCATTTTGGACTGTCTTTTGGCCATTCCAGAACAACTTGTAACTCCCAGTGAGAGAGACACCATTTGATTTCCATCTTGTTTCTTGTTTCCTGCAGAGAACAGATGTCAACCCTTCGCCTTTCCAGCCTGTCGACGATCTCCATGGAGCGTCCAGTAAAGCGATCCAATATTTAAAGTGCCAAGTCTGATATTCCAGGAGGGGACGCCAGATTTTCCGCAACATCCCTCCACTTTTGCGTACTTCCTGGATATTGTCACACCTTGACCATTTAAGGTCTTTCAGGGAATGGGGATTTTTTGTGTGATGATATGGTAGATGTTTGGGTCAAAAAATTTTTATATCTGGAATTGCCCAATTCCTAACAACAACCTCCAGTTTTATAAGCAGTGGGCCTAGCCTTTTTGCTGGAAGCACACAAGGCAGTGCAGTTGCAGTTTATCTCGTGCCCACTGTTGTAAGCAGTGGACCTAACCTTTGGGTCAAAGGTCCCTGTTCCACAAGACAGTGGAATTAGAATCGAAGATCATCCGCTGTTGGAGCCGCTGTCCTAGGGTCCTTCCGCCTCTTTCATTGTTATCTTCTTTCTTCTGGTACTGGTGGTTCGCGGCATCTTATTCCGTATTATTCGATGCAATCCTAGAAGGTCTCTCTTCCCAGGACTTTTTGCTATCCACCACCTGGGGACGCGTCTCATTGCCAGTGCATCCCAGCATGAAGGATGAAAAGAAAGGCCTCAAAATTATTATCAACACATTTGAAATTTCCTCACCAGGCTTTTTTTAACATTTTAATTTATCTCTGGTGAATTTTATTTGGTCTGACCAATTTTATAATGATTTGACTAGCTCAGCAATATCAGCATCGTTTGCTATTTATTGCGACAAGAAACTCGTAGTATCATAACTGTTTTTAGACTGATCTTTTATTTCTACAACAACACAACAACACACGTTTAGACGACATTTTCCCCGAGATCGGGGGTTGCTGTTGGCTACCTATGATGAAACCGAAATACCCCTCGACGCCATTCACATCTGTCACTCGCCTCAGTATCACGCAACCCCGCTTTCACTCTGCCCTTCTCCACCTGCTCTCTCCATCCCAATCGCGGACGACCCCTTCTTATCACTCCTTCAACCTCGAACTCCAGCGCTCGCCTAATCCCGACCCTTGCATCCCTTCTCAACACATGTCCATACCACCGCAATCTCGATCTCCTTATCAATGTCATGATCTTTTATTTCTAGTTGTACGCATTTTATTTCGATATAATGGCGAGCATCGTTGACTTTATAACCGATTTTTATTCTTTTTATTTTATTTTATTTTATCATATTTTCATTTCATTTCATGTTTGTATATTTTATTTTGGAAAAATAAAAGAGGTTATTATTTTACCTCTTAAAGTTGTTTTCGAATTTGAATCAGCTTTCCAGGTCAGCCATTGATGGTTCTTCATGGTATTCTGTTTTGAGTTCATTTTCGTCAACATCTATTCCATCACAAACTACATCCACTTGCAAGTCCAGCTGTCCACCATACAAAAAACTTAAACTCTCTCCCGAAGTTTCACATGGAATATTGCCGTTACAGTTAGCTGCCAAACCCCATTCATTAAAAAGTCTCACAAATCAGAATATCTGGTCATGGTTGGCAGATATTTTTTCTCCTCAAAATTTCCACGAGGCTCATATCTGGTTGGTCATCAAGTTAATTAATTTGTACTTTTATATATGTCTGAGGTATTCAAATGTATCCACCCCTGATTTGTTAATAATAAACATTATTACAAACAAACATTATAAACAAACTTATGATCATGACTGTCGAAAAAATCACAATGCTAAAATAGAATGGTGCCTGAACTGCCCATTAATTTTATTTAGAAATCAAAAACATTAAATTTATAATTGTTAGGGTGCAAGTTGTAAAGAATATATTTAAGAAGCATTCACGTGCCGTTGTAAATAGTGGCGTTGAACATCTTCTCAATGTGTTCTTGAATGTTTTGTGCAATTGTAAGAAGTCTGCAGTCATTCAGTTGGTCATCGAATGTTTGCATGTGGTTGCTTCTACAATTGAAAAGTTCAATGAACAACTTTTCTCAACATTGCACGTCTTGTGGGAAAAATTAGGATCATGTGTTAAAAGGTAAGCTCTTGTTATATTACTTTTTTTCCTAACTCTCTTTTTCTTTCTTTTTTTCTATTGTCCTCTGCCTCTATTGTTGTCATCTTGTAATTGAATTGAATAATTTTTAAAATTACCAGTTGACTTGTATAATTAATTGATTAAACTATTAAAATTGCAGGTTTATGATGGCTCATCATTTTTCACCCCCATTAACATCATTTCTGTACATTTTAATAACACACGATGCATTTGTGCAATTTTCTGATGCCAGTTCCTTGCTGCTATCAAATTTGTTTGATTTTTCTGAACATTCCCTGATGTTAATGTCTCACATCTTACATCGAGACAAAAGAAATATCAACTTAAAAGATTTGCTTTTTAAATGGATTTTTCCGGAACCCTTTGAAGATTACGATGATGTTACAGGTTGTTTGCTAAATTTTTTCATCTGTATCCAAGCTTTACCTACTCACAGCTATTTAGTTTAACAATAATTACAGTTAATGATCATTTAACGCACTCTTCATTTACGTGCTTGTTGATTTTTTTATTTCCTCCAGCAGATTCGAGCAACAAAACAACTGGTAAGAAATTATACAAACTGGAATCAATTAATGTTTATCCTCTTATCATCTCAATGCTGTGCTGTGAAACCTGCTGTAGGAGGCAAATAAGCGAATTAAAAAAGCGTAGACGAATCTCAGACTCGTTGACATCTTTCTTGAAGTGGTCCACGCATTCTCACATGAATGAAGGCTACCCATTCGGTGTTCTGCACAGATCCTTTAGTTATGATGGTCTGCTGCATGCTGGAAGGTTGTTGTTGTTGTCCAACAATGATGCCCACCTGGATTACGAACTCAACGAAGGTCAAGGCTACGTTAGGGAGGAGCATTCGAAACATGCAGATGACGAAATGTGCCGGTCGAAAACAGCTGACGTTAAAGACAATTTAATGAAAGATTTGACCATATATGTTGAAACTTCTAAGACACTTACTGTTAGATTGCTTGTAATATTTTCATATTAATATTTACGATAATAAGTTTTTTATGTTTTTTAATAGTTGGTAGATATTGCGGAACAACTATCTGTTTGCTACCTTGCCTGTCAATTTCTATCGCATTATGATGACTGCAAATTGCAAGAATTGGATGAACTTCATTTAAAACTTAAGGTTATTATTAATTTTATTTTTGCTTTTATCATTTTATTTGGTTGCTACGTAAGATCAACATCTTATTTAATTTAAATTCTTTTGAGTTTTTCTCCTATTACATTAAGCGTGATGCTGGATGGTCACCAAGTTTTTATCGTCGCGACGTAAATTGTGTGGTTTTGAAAACGTCGCTTTAGATGTGTATCTATCAGCTAAATACTTCGGAGCAAGTCCATTTATGAACTTAAACATCAGAAGCGAAATTTTGAATGTAACTCTTTTATCGACCTTCAACCAATGTAGTTTTCAAAATATTGGAGTCACGTGGTTATGTTTTGCCGCTCCCACTACAAGCTTGGCAGCACGGTTTTGAATGAGCTGAGGCATTGATATCATTTTTCAGGTTGACCAAAACACAAAATTGCAATAATCTAACCTAGCATGTACAAAAGCATGGATTAAACTTTGGACTATATCTCTCTGAAGCGATCTTTTACCTATCCTCAACATGCGCCACTGATTCAAGCAAGTATTTGCAATGAATTGTACGTGATGATGCATTGTTAGCTGTGGGTCCAGGATGCAACCCAAATTGACAGCCCTGTAAGAAAATTCAATCTCCTGATCATTAATGATAGCTGAATCGTTTTTAATTCTTGAGAGCTGTTGCCATATACTAATTGGCATAATTGCGTTCTACATTGATTCAACTTTAAACGGTTGTCCGACATTTAATGAATTTGTTCAGCATAACTGGAAATTCACTAGGTGGTCCACTAACAATGACCTGATTTGTTAGGTTTTTTAGTGTGAAAGTATATAGTGGTGTCATCGGCAAATAATAAAAATTTAGCTAATGTAGTTATGTGGCATAAATAATTTATAAATAAGGTTAAAAGTATTGGTCCTTATATAGAGCCTTGTGTGACTCCGCAATTAATCTGGAGCTTTCCTTATTCATAGGTGTCAATTGAGACATATTGATTTCTTTCTCCGAGATAAGAGGAAAACCATCTATATGCTACTCCTCTTACGCCATTTGAATAGAGTTTTCTTAACAGTTTTCATGGTTTATTAGATAAAATGCCTTTGATAGATCTATATATATATCACTCTCTCCTAAAATTCTTTTATAGCAAGCTCCTTCACTTTGTTTTATTTTCATTAAATTTTATTTTCAACAAAAAGTTAAATAAATATTCTTGAGTGAATTTGTTTTCATTCGTAAACAGAAATGTGAAACATTGTTGCATGACAAGATAGAATCATTTATAGATGACTCCAATGCTGATGAGTTCATGGAAATACTAGTCCCATTCTTGGAGGATGATAACAAATTTTTCAATAAATGTTCCAACATCTGCTTAGATTTTATTTTCACCGTTGTGCCCTTTCAACTTTTTAAATCATCCATCAACTTTTTGCAAGTTTGTAGTTTTGTTGAAGCATTTGGTAAAAAATAATGTAATATTAATATTTAACCACAAAAAATAATTAATCAGAATATTTTTAAATTGAACGTTGTAGAAGTTGTTGGAGCTCAACGTTGAGTCCTCGGTGGCCAATCAAAGTGGTGACGATGACGAAATTAGCGACAGCATGTTTTCGCTTGACAGCAGCACTGGTAATAATTGCTTTTAAAATAGTCTAATTAAATAATGCACATAAAGTATGTCACCGAGCTACAGGCAAGTAGGGATGAATGTGATTGGCCATACTTTTTCTTTTTTATATGCTTGCTTTCTGTGTTATCTTATCATGTCACAGCTTCTCTTGTCAATTTTAACCACCTAATAAGCTGGAATTTTCAGCTAAATACCAATCAATCAACCAATCAATTAATTAATTAATTGATTGGTTGATTGATTAATTGATTGGTTGGTTGATTGATTGGTTGATTGATTGATTGATTGATTGATTGATTGATTGATTGATTGATTGATTGATTGATTGATGGATAATAGTTTGCGCCATATGGTTTGAGGTGTTTTTTAATGTAAAATGGTCTGGCGAATTCTAAGAAATGGGTCTGGCGAATAAATTTCAATGAATACAAGTGCGTGTTATGTCCTGGTTATGACATTAAACTGACCCTCACTGCCTTGTGAGTGATGTTGGATCATCAAAGGCTAGGCCCACCGCTTATAACTGTGGTTGCGTAAGGAAGGACGTCCTGCGTAAAAACTAGCCAAAAAATAATACTTATGATGAAGGAAATAACAATGGCCCTCAGTATCCGGCAGAAGAGGGTGCGAAGAATCTCCGGAGACCCAGTCCATGGGGTTGTGGTGCAAGGCCCTGTGGATGGTCTGGCTACTGGCACCCCACTCTATAGTGTGGTGGTGCAAGGCACTATAGATGGAAGGACTACTTGTAGACCAAGGAGTTGGAGGTTTGGTACCTGGAATGTAGGTACGTTGACAGGAAGAAGTTTTGAAGTGGTGGAGGAGCTGCAGAGGAGAATGGTTGACGTGGCTGCATTACAGGAGATCAGATGGAAGGGTGAGGGTACAAGGTTTGTGGGGGCTAAAGGTGGAAGATATAAGTTGTGGTGGAAGGGGGATGATGGTACGGGAGGAGTTGGTGTGATGGTAAGAGAAGAGTTGGTGGAGAAGGTGTTGGAAGTGAGGCGGAGAAGCAATGGTGTAATTGTAGTGGTGATGGTGTTTGGAAAAGTAATAGTGAGGGTGATATCAGGATATGCTCCGCATCAAAGTAAGAAGGAAGAGGAGAAGGATAGGTTTTATGATGATGTTTCTGACGAGATTGGGCAAGCGGGGTTGGATGAGTTTGTGGTGTTGTTGGGTGATTTGAATGGTCATGTGGGGGCGGATGCAGACGGATATGAAGGTGTACATGGGGGATGGGGATATGGTATACGGAATGAGGAAGGGCGTAGAGTGTTGGAGTTAGCGGATGCACATAACATGGTGGTGGGGAATACCTGGTTTACAAGGGAACCAGCGCGATTGATTACATATAGGTCAGGGGAGCATAGGTCAATGATAGACTATATATTGGTAAGGGCCAAACATAGAAAGTATGTGAAGAATGTGAAGGCGATACCTGGTATGCTGCAGCATAGTATGGTTGTGATGGATGTGACATCAAAAGAAATGGGGAGGAGGAGGAAGGATAAGTTTGTGGCAAAGAGAAAGACATGGAAGTTGCAGGATGCAGAGGTGAGAAAGGCATGTGAAGTGAAGGTGGCTGAAAATTGGAAGAGTGGTAAGGATGGAGATGTTTGGGAGAGATACAGAGACTGTGTTGGCTACGGCAGATAAAGTATGTGGATGGACGAAAGGAAAGTGTAGGCATGGTGAGACGTGGTGGTGGGATGAAGATATAAGAAGGGTTTTGGAGGTCAAGAAGGAGAGGTTTAGGGTATGGAGAAGGGACATGACGGAGGAAGCGGAGTCTGAGTATAGGAAGGCTAAGAAGGTTGCAAAACAGGCAGTGGCAACTGCAATGACGAAAGCATCAGATAGGTTAATGAAGGAAATGGAATTTGATGTGAGTTCGAAGAAAATGTTCAAAGTAGCAAAGCAGTCAATGAGGGATAGGAAAGATGTTATAGGGAATGGATGTGTTTGGGATGGATCTGGCAAGTTGGGCTTAGATGAGGAGAAAAAGCTCAGGTGTGGAAAGCTCATATGGAAAGGTTGATGAATGAAGAGAATGAGTGGGATGGAGATGTGGAATCCGCGGTCACACACGGACCTATAGAGAAGGTGACGATGGAGGAAGTAGAGAAAGCAGTTAGAGAAATGAAACTAGGTAAGGCGACAGGGGTTTCGGAAGTGGCGGCAGAACATATAAAAGCGAGTGGGGTGATAGGAATTGAAGTTATGATGAGAATTGCTAACAGTATGTTTGATGATGAAGGTATACCTGAGGATTGGCGACACAGTGTGTTGGTGCCGTTGTATAAGGGCAAAGGAGATGTGAGAGATTGTGGGCCATATAGAGGTGTGAAATTGCTAGAGCACGGAATGAAGGTAGTGGAGAGGAAGGTTGAGAAATATGGTGACAGTTAATGAAATGCAGTGTGGGTTTATGCCTGGTAGGGGAACGATGGATGCGTTGTCCATAGTGAGAATGTTGCAGGAGAATTATAGAAAGAAAAAACGAAGATTGTACATGTGTTTTTTGAATCTAGAAAAGGCTTTTGATCGAGTACCGAGGCAGGTCATTGAATGGGCGTTGAGGAAGAAAGGAGTGAATGAGAGACTTGTTAAAGCTGTGATGCAGTTGTATGAAGGGGCAAAGACAAAGGTGAGGGTTGGAAGGGGGATGTCGGACGCTTTTAGTGTTAAGGTAGAAGTGCATCAAGGATCAGTGTTGTCACCGTTTCTGTTTGCAATTGTGATGAATGTTGTGTGTGGAAACATAATGGAGGGGTTGTTATTTGAGATTTTGAATGCAGATGATTTAGTCTTGATGGCTGATAGCATGGAAGAATTGCAGTTAAAATTTGACAGATGGAAAAGTGTTATTGAAAAGAAAGGGTTAAAAGTTAATATTGGTAAGACGAAGGTAATGGTGAGTGGGGAAGGTGGAAAGCGAGTGATAAGTAAAATAGACCCCTGGGGGATATGTGGCAGGAGAGTGAAGGCTAACTCGGTATTGTGTATAGGATGTTAGAAATGGGTGCATAAGAGATGTAGTGGTGTGAGGGGGGCACTGAAAAAGGTGGAAGACACGTTCAAATGTAAGAAATGTGTACATGGTGTGATTAATAGGACGGACGCAAGGACGGGGTTGAGTGGTGGTATTGAAAGAGTGGAAAGCTTTGTTTACTTAGGGGATAAGCTGAACGCGGATGGAGGATGTTTGAGCGCAGTTACGGCTAGAGTTCGTGTTACGGCAGTTACGGCTAAATTTAGGGAACTGGGTGGGGTATTGTGTGGAAAGAAATGGTCCGTGAAGATGAAAGGGAGGGTATATAAAGCATGTGTGAGAGCAGCGATGGTATATGGTGGTGAAACTTGGGTGTTGAGGAGAGAGGAGGAAAGTGTACTGCAGAGGGCTGAAAGAGCTATGGTGAGGATGATGTGTTGGGTTAAAGTGAAAGATAGGAGGGGTAGTACAGAGCTGATGTCGATGATGGGACTGAATGAGGACATTGTGACATTAATAAGAAGATCGAGATTGCGGTGGTATGGACATGTGTTGAGAAGGGATGAAAGGGCCTGGATTAGGCGAGCGTTGGAGTTCGAGGTTGAAGGAGTGGTAGGAAGGGGTCGTCCGCGATTGGGATGGAGAGAGCAGGTGGAGAAGGACAGGGTGAAAGCGGGGTTGCCTGATACTGAGGCGAGTGACAGATGTGGATGGCGTCGAGGGGTATTTCGGTTTCATCATAGGTAGCCAAACAGCAACCCCCGATCTCGGGGAAAATGTCGTCTAAACGTGTGTTGTTGTTGTTGAATACAAGTGCGTGTTAAATGTATACAGCTGACATATGATGTTTGAGGTGTTTTTCAAATCATTAACAACTAGAGATTACAAAATTTGAAACATTCACAACAAATGTTAATAATAAATATATACATTTTTGAGGTAGACGTGTTTTGGTACCTACCATCCGATGAGCGCATGTATTGTTTACATAAATTTTTATGATACTTTAAATTCTAGGAAACTCGGGATTTTATTTCAATTCTAAAAAATGTCACTATTCACGTGCATTGCATTCAACCATAGTATCTTAAGTCATTTTCTAAGATAAGAAAAGTGGTACGAAAACAGATTACGGTGATAATAAAAAAAAATTAAAACCTTTTTTTTATAATGCACTGATAAGACAATTATTTTTTTGGCCACTTATGAGGGGTTCTGAAAGTATATTCACTACATTTTTTTGGAAATTCGTTAATAAATTTACACAAGAAAAAAATTAAAAATTTTACATCGCTTGAAAATTGAAAGCAAATTGAAAAATCAGCTTCTTTATAAAATTATATGAATACAGACCCAGCATAAAGCTTACTTTGCCCCACCCTTTTTAAGTGGGGTAAAATTTCAATCTTTCTCTTTGTGTAGACTTATTAATAAATTAAAAATGAAATATATTGAGACCTCTTTGTGAGTAACCGAGCAAATTTTTTTCTTTTCAGCGCGTTTAATAGAAAAAAATGGTTTTAAATTTTTTAAAATGCATAATTTTCTTTTGATTCATGATACACCAAGATAGCTACTTCATCAATTAAAGTTGGTCACACCAGTGAACCACATTGAAATTAAACACGGTAAAATGAGCCAAATTAAAGTAAGCTACGTTCAATTTTAAAAAAATTTAGCTTTTTAAATTGTAAGTTTTTAGCTAGTGATATCTCATGTTTTATGTTATGGTTATAGTCGCTCACTATTATTTTTGAAAACATTTAAACTTGAAATCTAAATAACATTGGACGTTGGCTAAGTTTTTTCGTAGAAACCACAGAATACCATTTTTGGCACCGCATGAAGCAGACTTGAATTTTGTACAATACTGTGCTGGCTGACATGTACAGTGTACATTCGTCTTCAAATGCAGGTGAACTGTTGTCTGAAGAAGGAACATACAAGAAAAAGGGAGGCGACAAAAGACTAAAAATTGTTGAATGGTTGTGCAGGTGGGTGTGCCTAAAAAATGATGATGAGGATTGTCATGGAAAGAAATCTGAAATTTGTCGCTGTTTAGTACGCTTGCTAAATACTGAAAGTCAGGATGAGACCTTCAGTTCAAAACTGGTTAGTCTTTTGGTTATTGGGTTAATATTGCTTTCAATGTAACTGTTGAATGTCTCGCATCAAAATGTTTTAACTTTCCAGAAAACCTCAATAATCAACTCCCTGCTTTGTGATGCGGTTAAACTTCCAAGTGATATCATTGCGTCAATTATCAACTGTCTTAGGTCTGATTTTGTACATTAAACATTTTTCACTTTTTTTACGCATTGTTTGCCCGATGAATTATTCACTTGATTCAATGGATGGCTTGTCGTGTTTGTGGAATGCATGGACTCGAAACATTAACACGCGCATCCGTGCAGGCACTGTCATCGTGCGGGTCTAAGCATGCTCTCACCAGGCCTGTCTTCTGAAGTTATACTGATCAGAACTACTGAATAAACAAAATCTCATTTGTTTTTATTTATAAATATCTGGATAATGAACATTTATAATTAACAAGTCTGATGATGATGATGATGAGAATGATGATTATTACAAACACGACTGACTTTCAACTCAATCCAGAAGAGAGTCCCTCCGATTAATGTTGCTGGTTCTTCTCTGTCCATTTTAAACAGCGTCAAACTTCAACAAAAGCGCTTGAATTAGACAGTGATCCAAATAAATACCATGAGGTGATACTTTAATGTTGGAAACAGGAAATTCTTTAGATGTTGCGATCAGATTCAACGTGCCCCTTTTTTTCTGTGTTGGTTCATCGACTCAATTTACTAGATTGCAAATGTCAAAAATACCTAACAGAGAAATTGTGTGGGAATCATTCATATTTTCTATTTGGATGTTGAAATCACTTGCTACTATAGCGTTACAACTTATCACAGTAATGATCTTTAAAATATCAACCAGTTCACTGAAAAATTGCGAAAAAATTGGGGCAGATCCTGGTCTGTAAACGGCCAGCAAAACAACATTAATCCCATTTATCCTGAACTTCATAGCTAACGCTTCAAAAGGGGATGTTGTCGGCAATTCATTTCTATAAAAGTGAATATTATTTCTGAAGAAGACTATGATTCCACCGTGAGGCAGATCGTGAGGTCTCAGAAGATCAATAAAATCAAAACACGGAGTCGTAGCCATTTTGACAGAGATTTCATCATGAGACCTATGCCAGGTTTCTGTAAACCTAATATAAGTCTCTCATGTATTGGTTCAAATATCCCATCATATTTTATAATAATGGGTCTAACGTTCAGTAATCCAAGACAAACATTTAATCTGTTAAAAGAGCTGTCGCTTCTTGATCATTTCAAAGTACTATTACTGTTTGAACTATCAAATGTCATTAACAAACGGGCCAAACTAGTTCTTAATGCGTGCTATCATACGTCCAGCCTGTCTTCATTCATCTGTTTGTTCATCAGCACCTTTCTTTCAAACTTGTTACAAATCCCCAGTTGACGCTCAGTAGATGTCACCCTGCATATCTTCATAACTTCATACATCTTCAACAGCATACTTGGCACCATCTTTGGTCTAAAATAGCATAGCCTGCTATCTCTAACCTGACAACAACCAACTTTAAAACTTTTAAAAATTGAGCATCTCTCGTCCCTTCAAGCATTTGGATGCAACGCCAATAACAATGCATCCTGACCGTTCATCATGCTATGCTAGGTAAATGGCACATTCGTAAAAATAACAACAATATTATTATATCATATGATATTTTATCTCATCTATTAGTTTTTCAAACTTATTTTATTTACTTTTCTTTAATGTTCAACTATTACGTTGACATTTGCAGAGGAATAATAAGAAGTCACGTCACTGATGAGGACTGTGTTGGATGCGTCTTGAAGCTCATGTCCAAATTGTTTTACCAATTATCCATTCATAAAGCTAATTCTCCATTAGGGTGTTCTGAGGAATGCGACTTACAAATGAATGAACTTCGAGATATGCTTATATTTTTTTGGAGTGTTGTCATGGAAGATGCAGTTCTTTGCATTGATCATGTTTGTCTCCATGTCGTCAACTGCACAATCAATTTCATTCAAGTAATTTTTGGATTTGTGAACTTTCTGTGCACCGTTTTAATAATTTTTTATATTTTCATCCCCAGGATTCTGGCAGGCTGTTCGTGTTGGATGAGTCTAGTAGTGATAGGATTACCGTAAATCAGTCAGCGGTGTTTGTTAATTTGTTGAAATTGTTGACTAGAGGAAGGTATTTGATGAAGTTATCGGCTGCCTTCCTGTTGCCAGCGTAATTTTTTTTTAATCTGTTCTAAGTTACTCTTTTTTACACTTTTGCTTTTTTGCAGCGTGTTCGACGCATGTGCCACAATTTCTGACGACACAACTTTGAACAGCAAACATGAGCAGCTGTTTGGTAGCTTTTCTGAAGATGCTAGTCATTTAATTGTAAGTGAAAAGCTTTTTTGCATCAATGAATAATAAAATAATGTTACTTTGTAATATATTTGTTGATTTATCTTAATCAACGGGTCATCCAAATTCATCACGGTCATTCAAACTCATCATGGCCATTCAAATTCATCATGGCCATTCAAATTCATCATGGTCATTCAAATTCATCACGGTCATTCAAACTCATCATGGCCATTCAAACTCATCATGGCCATTCAAACTCATCATGGCCATTCAAATTTATTATGGGTCGTTGTCTAGCTGAGATAAAGTGGAAGGGCTGGTTCTTTAAACCTAATTTTCAGTGAATGAATGTACGAGTTTTTGAATTTAATCTTTAATTTATTTGAACCAAACAACAGGAGGGCTGTCAACCTGAGCAAAACAACTCGTTTGTTCTTCACTGCCTTCTTTCTATTTGGACGTCAAGTTTGAACTGCAGGAAAGCCATCATGTATTTCATTGTACACCATTTGCAAAAATCCAATACTTTTTCGTTAGACTCTACCGCTAAGGTTTTTTGCTTTCATTGATTTGATAAAATGTGCCGGTTTTGCATTTTTTTTATTTCATCATTTTGAGAGTGACTTGATTCACATGCTGCTTGTGCAAAAATTAAAAGTTGTTGTAAGCGGTGAGTGTGCAATGCAACACCTGTCCCGCTCAATATTCTCTTGCGTGTGTGCCAATAAAAATTTTTAAAATTATGAAAGAAATAGGATAAATAAAATTAAATTTGGCAGATTATAAAATGGATTATTTGATTTAGTTTATTTCATTTTTAAGATTAATTACTTTTATTTTTAATAAGTTAGCTAGTTGAGTCAACAGGACAGCTGCTTCCCGAACTTAAAAGTAGTTTAAATGAAAGAGCTTGCATTAAATTATATTTGTTTACCTTGTAATGCCGTGCTTATCCAACACTATGAGGAAAATAATTTTTGTTTAGTAAATTGTTGAACTAATTTTTCATTTTTGAAAGGTTGTTGATACGTTTGTAGCATGGGATAACGAATCAAGCAGATATGCTCTTTTGAGACGATATATTGAATACTGCGTTCAACTATGGCTCCACAAAGACCTCCATATTGAAAATTTTTGCTATCAATTCTTTGATTATAACTCATTAGCCGAATTCATCAAGTCATTTTTCACATTATTTCAATAGCTTTTAATATATCGTTAAATAGTTTATCTAGAATTGTAATAAATAAAATTATGATTTGTTGTTTTCAAAAGAATGCTTGAAATAATGGTTTTCAATAAATTTACCGCTCACCTCAGGAATGAAATATCGGTTGTATTGCCTCGTCTCTTGTTTAAAGAGTCAGGTCGTGCCCAGCTGCCTTTTTTGTCCAAAATTGTCGGCACTCCGTTGAAGGAATTGCTTCGCTCACATCTTTCATCCATCTTAGCTCATGTTCTTCCTAGTTATGCTGCAGCCAAGAACCAACTCCATGTTGATGATAAGAATGATGCGTCTAAAATGAAGGAGGCGACTTGCATACATACCATGCTAATCAATCAATTCACTAACGATGTGAGTGATGTTGTATTTTATGTTCTGTAGGAAACAAACAATGACTATTTTAAAAATTATTTTATATGTCCAGTTTTCAATTGTTCTGTGTAGAAGCACATTTGTAACATCTATCGCTTGCATTTACTACTTAACATAGTCTAATCTCTAAAATGATCGTGAAGATGTTCGTTTCGCTAGTTTAAGTTTATGAAATGTTTATTAAATGTCCGTTGTAAATTAGGTGGGTTTTTAATAATTTTTGCGTTAAGGACAATTATTTCATCTTTTACTATTATCATTATTATTATTATATACATTTTTATAGCGTTAATTGGCAAAGTTTAAAAGCTTTGTAATACCGGTTTCAGGTTGTGAACAGTTACATTGTTGTAAATCTTATAGACATCGTAAACGACGTCATAGGATCATTCTATGAATCGATCATATACAGCAAGGAAATGTGTGGAGACTATTTCAAGTTATTTCAAAATTTTGTACAATTGGTTACATTTGATAAGTTTACTAACGTGACCATGCGCTTCATAATTATTTGGTTTTTTTTTGTATACTCACATTTGTTGGTCATTTTGAAATTGGTGGCCTTCCACAAGATATTATCTTTTTTTTGTCTTTTTCAGTTCGATTGATTTTTTTCTTTCTGTTTTGGATTTGACGAATAAAATTCTATAAAAAATATAAGTAGGCAATAACCTCATCTTTGTTTAGAGTTGAATTCCTGGAATGACCAAGGAAACTGCATTAAGCTGGATAAGCAACTAAAAAAGATGCTTTATTATAAATCCTTGAACGTTTAAGACCATCAGATCCTACATTCAATTGACCTGATCAGCTCGTACAAAAAAATTTCCGCGCAGTGTTGTGTGACCTCTTGGTTAAGGCATATGTTGACGTGAATGTTGTGTGTTTGTTGATGATCATTTAAGAGATTAGCTGAGGTGTGGGCTAACGACTTGAACATCTTTTGTCATTTGTCTTCCTTCAAAACAACATCCACTGCTATTCATTCTGTTGTAGAATTCAGTAAATAATCATTTATTAGGGGCAAACAATAACTAAACTTTCAATATTTTTTATTTATTAGTATTAAAAAGTTTTTTCTTTATTGAAGGGTGGGACTGATCGACAGTATTGAACCAGAATATACCTATCACAGTCCTGATGTAATAAATACCTTCATAACCTACCTTCTATCGTTTTACTCTGGCAACAACAATGTAAAGAACGCTTTGGACCTAATTTGTTTGGCACAGGTACCACTTAATTATATATGAGTTGATATATGTTAATAAATATTTTAACATCAAGACGGAATAACAAAGGCGTCATTGTTAGTTATTGTCATTTATTAGGAAATTAATATAAGGTTTTCAGTTATTTCGTAAAAAAATTAAAATTAGGATGGAACTCAAAGGCTTATTGTCAATTTGATCTGGAAGTTTGAGAAGGCAGCACACCATCATGAGAAAGCACGAGCACTGACCTGCATTCACTTTTTTGCTTCACTTCTTCTCCTCCAGGCAGGTCCAATGCATCAACCAGCTCTCACTTTCATGATCCAACATTTACTTCTTTTTATCGTCAGACTGATAGACCATTCTATTACAACTAGGTTGGTTGTTTGTTTCTCTAGTTTTTAAAAAAATTGTGTGGTTAGTTTATTGATTTGACCATGCCACTTCTTTTGATTCTCGTCTGAATCAGCATTTTTGTTGCATTAGTGGTGTTCAATTTGTTGTGATTCGTTCCGTTCATATTTCCATTCCAATAATGCAGGAAAACAAACAAATTGCAAACTAGACAATATGTTGAATGGAACTACATACAGAAAACCTCCTCTGACCTTCTCTTACTTCTAATCAATAGTTCTCTCCAAATATCTATACAAGTGATACGAGATTTTTTTTGATTTTCAAATTATTGTTTTTATTTTACTCTTGAGTGAATAGTTGGATATGATTTTGTTTCACAGATAATTCACCCATATCTGCCCATCATCATGTCAACTGTTTTCAATCTTTACAAGGAACAGGGTTTCTCTCGCACTCAGGTTGATTTCATTTTAAACATCATCATGAAAAATATCCGACCCCTGATAAAAATTTTCGACACCCGACTCCGACTCTGAGTTTCCTGAAAAACTTCTCAACTTTTGCATCATAATTTCA